AAGAGGATTCATACCTTTCCCAAGGGTATTAGCACGTAAGTGAATGTAATAGATTCGATTGGAATTCGAACTCGGTTCTCCGATTCCTCAATCCGAGCTATCTATTACTCCACTGTGCATCCTGGGAGACAATTAGTATCTTTAAGAGTTAGCATTTTTTCTTTGGGGGGGTTATTAGGTCAACAGATTTGAGAGCAGTGGGTAATGTTGTGGATATGCAAATGAATTATTGGAATGTTTTTCAAAAGTATTACTGGCATAATGAAGATTTTTTTTTTTTTTGTCTTTATTTCAGCATTTAATAAACATTTCAAACTTTTACTCCATAAAACTCCAAAACATTAAAAAAAAAAAAACCCCCCAAAAAAAACAGAAATATAGAGTGTAGCAGAAATACTTACCACCAAATGGTAAAACATTAACTAGATGAAAACACCATTGCCACTAATGTCTCACCATTATTTGGGAAGTATTTCTGCTGCACTCTGTATAAGGAAAGCCAATGGTAGCCAGCGCTAAATGCCCAAAATGCCCAATACCTCTTGAAATCAAATTTTGAAAGAATTCTTATGTTGGTAAGCAAGCTGGTCATATCAACCCAACTTCAGATTTGGCACCCAGGGTCGAGGCACAATCTTAATTATGTAGGCAATTCAGAAATATATTGATGACAGAGAGGTTGTCAGGCTACCATTGGAAAGAGAGATTTTATTTATTGAATATAAAACATCTTTCTTGGTTGATTAATTTGTTTTTGTATTTTTTTTTATGTCTTATCAACCCTTTGTGGATTTAAAGCTGAAACATCTCTTGGATTGTAATTCTTTTTTTTTTTGTGAGTGAATATAGCGTTAAGAAATTTTTTTTTTTGAGATAATGATTTTTTTTTCAGATACAATTTCAACTATTTAACCCATAGCTGGGGGAGAGATGGATCTTTTGTTTGGAAATTTTACTCCTAACTCAGACACCCTAGAGCAGTAAAACAAATAAAGAAGGGAGAGATTCTCTCAGGGTTTTGTTTATTTTTACACTGACAAGTGATTCTAATGAATCTACCTAGAGAGAAAGTTTCTCTTATAGGGTTGTGCAAGTACAACAGCATGCTGAAAAGCTCTCGTCCCAACTGAAAATCATTATTTCAATGATTGGACAATGAGCGATTATAGGAAATGGGACTGAAAACATTTTGGTATCCCATTTTTTTTTTGTTACAAAGTGTAGGCTTGATGGTCTAAAGATGTACAATACTGACCTCTTAATCTATGTTCGATTCTCTTTCCTTCCTCTGTGTGTGTGTATATATATATATATATATATATATATATATATATATATGTCTATGTTCCCCACAGAAGAAACACGAAAGTTTTGCATTAGGCTCAGATTTCACTAAAATGCAAATTTGTAACAGAGCAATGGCTAGTTAATCTCAATAGCTATTATTATTAATAATAAGTGGTACATAATTACTATGTCCTTATTCTTGTCTAAGCTTAATTTTGTAAATATTTAGGTGCCTGCTCTAGAGTATTGACTAGCATACTCGCTAATTGCCAGTTAAATTGTTTTATTGGAATTTTGTGCGAGATTGAGCTAAATACAGTCTGTATAAGCTGTGTTTATTTTCATCTACCTGCGTACTCAAGAAAATTTAAAGATAATGTACCCCTGGCAAGATTCAAATCGGTATCCCCTTTTCCAGATTGTGGTCCCCTTTGCAGAAGGGCACATTTTCTTTATTAAGTTTTCCTGTGTATGTAGGCTGGTAGATGAAATAGTGTTAAAAATAAACAAAGTGCTTACTCAAATATGGGTAATGACTAAAAATAATGTGTGTGTATATACACACACACAGAGTTTTAGAAATTGAATTTCCAAGTTTAAATTTGTTAAAACGTAATTCTTAAAATTCAGATAAAAATATGACTAGGTTTTGAATATATCATGTGACCTGCTAGAATTTTTCTGACTACATTTCAATGATTGCATGCTCATCTTTGGAAATGTATGGCATTTTATACCCCTGTTGTTATATTGCAGATATCCGATTCCAGAATTGACACCATACCTAAAATGTTTTTCATTTGTTGTGTTTTTTAAAATGCATTAGAGTAAAGGACACTTCTCTGAGAAAAATTTGAAGTAATGAGCTTAATTGATTTGCCATTTGGAAATGAAGATTAGATCTTTTGAGCCCCAGTCTCTTGCTCTAAACACTGATCAAAAGCTCTCAAACATTTTTTTTTTTTTAATTATTTCCATTTTTGAGGCAATAAATCTTCCATGAACTGAGAAACTAATATGAGAGTTGACATTTGGGTGGGGCTGTTAAAAAAATAAAAGAAAAGAAAAAAAAAATGTGTTAATATTTTCTAATTGTGAAGTTATACAATCGTTGAAGATGGGCACAAAAAAATGGTCAAAATCCAAAAAATCCATTCGAGAGTTTTCTTAGGTAAATTCTGACTGTATAAGATGTTTTGAATAAAAAAAAAAGTTAATTCACACAATTTGGTTGTTTTACTGATGTTTACCCAAATAGCAAATAATATAAATAAACATAGATATAAAGGTAATCAGTAGTTGGAATGAACACATGTTTGACTAACCAATGTACTTCATCTATTACTGGATTTAAAATTTGTTTTTTTTTATCTATTCTGTTTGATTTGTAAAATTACTTGATGAAAAATCCATAGCTATTTTTTTTTAAAAGTTTTTTCTTGCTTACAAACCAGAAATTCAATCTTATACTTTCCTTTCAGGCATGGGGTCTATAATAATATTTTTAGTAAAAATACAAAAAGATGGTATAATTGATGAAAAGAAGTAAAGAAAATCTATTTTATAAAATAAATTCTATGAAATTTAAATCTGCCTTTTCCCCTGCTTTAATTTCAGATATGTACAAGTGCATATGAAAATCATTGAAGACTTGAATGCTTCCATATTGTGAACAAATTTTCTTTTAGTCTTTAGTGGTGGGAGAAACAAAAAAAAAACCCCTCAAATAACAAAACAGCAAAATTCAGAGGAGCAGCAAACACTTGTTAAATATTTACAAGTAAATATAGTAAATTATTGAAATTGTATTTATTTACAACATTTCCAAAAAAAGACAGCCAATTCAGCTACTTGCTAAGAGAGATGGCTATATTTGTTAAAGACTAATGTTTTCTTTTATTGTTTTAACTTTATATTGGCATTTTGGAAATTTTGAAAAAATTTGCTGTTCATTGGAATTTTGGTCCCGGTAGTCATTTGATTATTTTTTTTTTTTTTTTTTTTTTTGATGGAAAAAAAGCCTAAAATTTATCAAAGACTATTTTTTGTTTTGGCAACAGAGTAAAGATCATATAAAAAAGTTTCAGGAGGCTTGTAATTTTGCATATATAGATATTACTCAAACTGATGATCTGGACTACCATCATAAGGAGTATAGAGAAGAAACCATTTCCTTGGTTTTGTAGCTTTCTTTATAATGAGCTATCAAAAGTGCTGCTGGTCATTGTGAGGTGTATCTAGGGCATTTAAGAACGCAAACTGATGGAACTCTATGCAAATTCAGTGAATTAAAAAAATAAGTTCAAGGAGTTCTTACGTCGGGGCAAAAAGAGCAAAGTCAAGAAGTTGTTTACTTATTGCTGCTTATTTTATGGCTATTTTACTTACATGCTATATGGGTGGCGCTGAGGATTGAACAAAAAAAATATTGTAGCCTTGTCAAATGTTCTACCAACTGAGCTATACCCCAGTATTATGAATATGATAGACAAAGATTCTTTGAATAAATTATAAAATTAATAAATAACTGGAAAATAACAGTAATAAAACAAAAATTTCTTTTTAAAGAATAAATATAAATTTGAATAGAAAACAAAATTATTTGCTGTGCTTCCAGTTGTCTAACACACCCATTTTTTAAAATCCAATGTGATACCTATTGAAGTCTGTGTGTGTCTCATGAAGGATAAGATTTTTTTGTGGCATCTGAAGGAAGTATATAATACATGACCATTAGTAAGAGAACTTTTAAAGAGAAAAGCTGATGGTCATGAATTTTTAGAATTCAAAGATTTTTATAATTGGGAAAAAATTTTATCTAACCAGTTGAATCGGCTTACCAATGGTTTTATTTTTTTGGTAGTTTATATTTTAATTCTTTTGTTTCTTCCATTTGAAACATATAAAGTATTCGGCTTTCATTTTTTTTCAAAAATTTGCATTTAAAAATGAGTGAGAAATGGAGACGAGTGAAATAACATATATTTAAAGTGAATTCTTTATATTGACCAACTATAATTCTAGATATGTTTCGTAAACCAACAAATGTGATGATCACAGTGGGTTGAATTAGAGACGTTTGTACAATGGATCATTGCTAAACCTTAACAAAACAAACATAACAACAATGGAGGGATTGTTGCTTACCTGAATATATCAGGCCAGGTGGAAACTATACAATTACAGAAAACAATTCTAGAAATAAGAATGGCAACAATTCTAATTATTTACTAAAGGGTAATTTTCAGGTTTTTGCAAATGATCTATTTTTGGTATTTAATCCTAATTGTTAGAAGAAAACAACTACTACTTCTGACCTATAATAGTCATTACATTTGCATGCATAATTCATGCACAAAATGTATGAAATATTATGGGACAGACGTAGTAATTAATATTGAAAATCTTATATAAAGAAGAAAGAAAAGGTATTTGAGTTCTTCAAGAGTTGAGCAAAGAAAAACAACAGAGAAAATTAAAAAAAAAAAAAAATTATTTCAATAAATATACATATTCCCCAGTACAACTTTTGGTACTTTTTGTGAATGGTTGGATATAATATCTTTGAAGGAGGATCGCATGAGGTAATATTTTTTTTCTTCTTCCTCTTCTTCAGGGTCATATATTGATGGCAGTAATTGAACCAACCACATTAACTTTCATGAAACATTTGTCCAACTCCGACTGATCTCAGGGCTGGACCATAGTGGTTATCATCGTCTGTTCTTATCAAACTCATCGACCATATTGACAAGTCGTTGTCGTGCTTTACGGTTGATGTGATCAACAGAAGATATCAAGGCCAGAAGTTGCTTATTCGAATACTCCTGCAAAACAACAACAAAAAAAAAATATATTTTTTTTCTTGTCTGTCAACCATGAGATTGCTAATAAGGGTTGCTAAACTCAATAATTAAACCTATCTTCTGGAATTGTGAGAAGAACCCTTATCACTCTGAGAATTGTTCAAGCTACTGATTTCATTTGAGAAAACAGAAATGTGATTCTACAGAAGGATATTGAGAATACCATGAACGGAGAATATGAGTAAATGAGAAAGTTTTAAGGAAAATGTGAGAGAGAAAGTCACTTACCGAGAAAAAGGGCATGTGTGTTCTGTACGATATGTTGAAGACAAAATGGAAACAAATCAGTGGCAACTGCTTGCCATAAATGCATCTTAAATATGCTAATATTGTTTATCCTCTCCAGTTGCCAATCAATGAAAAAACTGTTCCATCGATAAAAGCGATTGTTTTTTTCGAACTGGGAGTCAGTTTATTTTTCTACCTTGTCCGTCGGCTTGTGAGTGACTGTTTTGACCGTTTACAAATATTGGGATTTTTGACATTGTATCTGTGATTTGTTATCATGACATTTGTTTCTGTTCCTGAATCTACAAAAGTTTGGACGTGTGACTCATCTATTTCATTTTGTAAATGAACTGCCATATCAATATTTTTAACAAGCTATTTTGGCAATATAGTGGATGGCAAATTCAATATAAAATTGATTCCAGAATTTGACAGCAGTGGGTCAATAGTTGAGTGGGTTGAGAAAGTCAAACTGGCATGCAACCTCTGTGGTGTGAAGAGGCTTGGGACCATCGTTCCCCTTTGACTGACTGGAGGGGCATTTGCAGTATATCAGCAATTGTCCAAGGAAGAGAGAGTGGATGCAGCATGAATTAAGGATGTGCTATACATTACTTTTACTGCAGACAGTTTCTCTGCATATGAGCAGATTGAAACTTGGAAACTGCGCCCTGCTGAAACTGTAGATGTTCACCTGGTTGACTTGAGAGAATACTCGACTGTGTGTTTGTCTGTGACTCCCTGTCTTCGTACAACAACATATTCAGTTGGCCTCTAGGATAGACTGACTGCCACTTGAAGAGTTATTAGCCCAGGCTCAGGTGCCTATGATGGAAGAGTTGGAAGAAGAGGATTTGGTGGTACCAGCTGCAAGGCGCACCCAAAGTAAACATATTCTCCCGACTGTGGGCCGTTCTGCGAGAATTAAGAACTACAGATGTAATGGTACAACCCACCTGGCAAGGGACTGCCTCCAGAAGAGGCAAGGGACTGCCTCCAGAAGAGGCAAGGGACTGCCTCCAGAAGAGGCAAGGGACTGCCTCCAGAAGAGGCAAGGGACTCGGGCACATTGCTACCACTGCTATAGGTGTCAGGAAGCAGGGTACCTGTTACAAGATTGTCTGGGAAATGGATCAGGGGGTGATATGTCAGTGTCAGCCTCGTCCCCCTCCAGGATGTAAATGCAGCACTACCAGTTGTGATGCCTCTTCTACCTGACCATGTTGGTGCCAGTTTCTCTTCCCTGCAAGTCATGAAAGATGCTCCCCATAATCAACATTCACATTGATGGGATGAAACATACTGTCCTCATGAATACAGTTTGCTTGCGTTCGCTTATGAACATATCCAAATGTTGTCAATAGAAAAACGTGGATGTGTTGATGTCTGATGGAAAGATTCTCAGAAGTCGAGAAGTCACAAGCATAGAATTCCAAACAGTCAATGGTTACTCTATCAGAATAGATGTTCTGGTCATGGAGAGCAAATTGTTAGGATCTGACATGCTCCTTGTCATTGAGAGGTTGGGTGGTGGTCACATTACAAAAATGGGTGGAGTCAGCTTTGTTAATCTCCATATTTGTGCAGCCATGACTGCAAATCAGCTTGATTTTTCCACAGAATTCGGCCAATGTACCAGGACAGCATCATGGAAGTAGTCTTATGGACACCTACTGGAATATTTAAAAATACTGGGTACCTGAGTACCCTGTGTCTAAGCAGGCAAGGAGTGAACATCAGCATGAACAACAGGCATGGATAGATGATGAGTGGCTGATCCCTTACCCGGAAAAATAACTTGGTCCCCGAAGGTGTCTAATCTCATTAATAGTGGTGCTTCAGAAGAATAAAGGTCAACTCGGTGTTAGATAACCACAAGCTAAATAAGTATGTAGATGCAGACATGGCTCATGCAGATGTTTGTGCTGAAAGATTTAGAGAATGGCAGATAAAAGGACCCAATGTTTTCATGCTTGATCTACCTACAGATACGTGTGCATTGATCGCTGTGGGCATTTCAAATTTTTTATAAGGGATAGAGGTACTGCCTGACAAGAATGGGATTTGGGTTCAATATGGCACTGGCTATCATGAAAACTATTGTGGATACTGTGCTGGCAAAAGATGAGTTCATTCTCCAGGCTACATCAGCTTATATTGATGATATTTATGTTATTGAAGATGTGACATCTGCAACATGTGTAAGACAACATCTCGCTGATTTTGAATTGATGTGCAAAGACCCAGAACGATTGGAGGACAATACCTGAATGCTCGGCATGCAAGTTTGGGGGGAGCAGAACACCCTGTACTGAAAGCGTGAGAGTGAAGCATTGAAAGGACCCAAATTTTTGACTCAGCAAAAAATATTTTCACAATACAGAAAATTAGTACAACATTTCCTTGTCTGTGTCTGACCCTGTATTGCGACTGCCTCCATCAAAAGCAGAGCAACTGAGGTTACATCCAACTAGGATGATGAAGCAACAGACTCTCTCCTCAACAACATGATCATGGACATCATTACCAGAGTACAAGATGACCCTGTGCAGGGCAAGTGGTGTGTCAATGGACATGAGCTTGAAGTATGGGTTGATACAAGCTGCCTTGCAACTGGAGAGTCCCTTGAGTTAAATGGTGATGTAATGGAGGGTCCATGCTGGTTGTGTCCCAAAAAGGCATTCAGCCTATAAACATAGCCAAGTTGGATGCTGTACTTAGGAGTGTTAACATAGTACTTCATTGGAAGGCAAAAAAAATCTGCATTTATTCATGGACTCTCCATGTGTTCATGGATGGATATCTAACACTCACTGGAAAGGCCAGAATACACATAGGCCTGAAGCAAGATGCTCATTTGGAGGAGTTTCAGCACCTTGGAAAAACTGGTCAGTGAATATGACCTATTGGTGAATATAGAGCTGGTGAAATCCAACCAGTACCATGCAGACAAGCTGACAGGGGTACTGCAGAGATTGTTCAATGCAGTGAGGAAAGAGATAGAACCCATGAAATTTTTCTGTGCAGCATCAGTAAGCAAATGCGGCTCGGATAAGATAAGGTCAGTACACTGTTAAAGTAAGCATCCTGGCATTAAAAGGTCCCTGTACATAGCAAACATTACCTGACGCTGATTGATTGTGGACCCACTTGAATCACAATCTGATGACAATTGCATGGACAAGATTCAGTCAGTGCCATCAACAATTTAAAGGCCCTATTTTTTTAACAGTAACCTCCTGCTGAACTTCTCACCAACAATGACACTGCTTTCCATAGTAAACTATTCAAAGAGTTTTTAAATAGATTGGGGAATCCATATCTTTTTCTGCTGCATGCACGTCCTCTCTGGTAATGGGATAGCTGAATTTTGCCACTGAAGCGTAAAGTGAATTGCTGCAAGGAAACAATGTGCACTGATGGAAAGTGTATATTGGCACAACATTACATCCAAAGATGCTGTATCACCTTCCACCGAGCCCGCCAATGAGATTTACTTTTATAGAGTCCGGGCACGAGGTACTAATAAAACACCTCCACCAATGCAAGAAATCAAGACCAATGAAACAACTCAATAACAAGTGGGACATGTCAAAGGGATTAGAAACCTGTGCATGATGTTTTTGATGGAATGCTGCACCATGTAAGTGACCTATGCCCTTTTGTTGGTTCAAACACCTCAACAAGTGATGTCGATAGCAAGTCCTCTAACAATGAGGAACTGGTCAAAATAAGAGATGCCTTAAATATGTCCTCGGAAGAAAAGGATGCTCAGCCCAGTAGAAATACATCTGATGTCCCTTTGGGAAGTGATTCATTGGGAGAGGAGAGGGCAGTTGTTCCTTTGAGAAGCAGCACAAGGCTTAAGAGCTGGTTGTGATCATGAAATCAGTGGGGAGTATAATGAAAGAGAAAGTCACTTAGTGAGAAAAAGGAAACGTGTTCTGTATGATATGTTGAAGACAAAATAGAAACAAGTCAGTGGCAGCTGTTGCCATAAATGCATCTCGGATATGCTAATAGTGTTTGTTCTCTCCAACCGCTGATCAATGAAAAAATTGTTCTGTCAATAAAAGCGGTTGGTGCTCTTGAACTGGGAGGCAGTTTATTTTTCTACCTTGTCTGTTGGCTTACAAGTGACTGTTGCCTTGTGCGGTGGATTTTTGACCATTTTTAACATTGGATCTGTGATTTGAACATTTCTTTCAGTAAATTGATCTTCTAGTTCGGACTTGTGATTTGTCTATTTCGTTTTGTAATTGAGCTGCTATATCAATTTCTGAACAAAATGGCAACAAAATAGACACTTACATTCTGAATCAGGAAGAGAGAGCTGAAATTTCTGGGACACATAATGAGGAAGGAGGAGTTGGATTGATTGATTTGTTTTTTATGGCATATCAACCCTTTGTAGGTTATTTAAAGTCAGAAGATATTTTTAGATTGTAAGAATGTTTTAGAGATAATAATGATTTACTGATACAAGTCCTACTAATTAACCCATAGCTGGGAGGAGAATAGCTGAAATATCTTTCCCAAGGATATTTGCATGTAAGTGAATACATTAAACACGACTGGAATTGGAACACTGATCTCCAATTCCCAATTCTGATCTATTATTCATTACATTACATGCACAACTAAGTTTATAGGACCTGGTATTCCCAAGTGGTTATCCATCTAGGTATTGACCAAGTTTAATGTTGCTTAACTTCAGTGATCATTTGAGAACATGTGTTTTAAAGTGATATGACTATCAGCCTAGAAGGACTTGAAAAATTTGATAACCACAGGAATGAAGGCAAAAGAGACAAGGAGAAGTAGTGGACCATTTACCTGTGGTAATGAGTTTATGTGAATGAATGGTAGAATGAGGAGTGGGAGGAATTGTTAAAAGAACAAAACAAATGTTACTAAGATGTACGTAAGATAGGAAGTTGTGGAGGGCTATGATTGCCCATGCCTTGAAGGGACATGAGATATAGAAGTAGTGCTTCCTTTAATTATAGCTGAAGTCTCCAGAAGAAATATCTAATACTTCTTAAAAGGGAGGGTGTTTTATGAACCCTGAGTTAAGTGTCTAGGCTGGAACACTTGCACAATTTGAGGTCTTTCTTTCACATCTATTAATCTCAGAGGAAGGACTGGATTAGCCATTAATATCCAGCATCCCAATTAATGGGTTAGATGTTGAAACCTATAATACTGGATTTTGTGTTGGGTATTAATGGGTTAATCAAAATAAACAAGTGCTGAAAGTATCAAAAGAGGAAGGATATACTACAGGGTTTTTCTACACACATACACACTCCAAAAGTGATGGTATAGTTTGTAAAGATAATGGTCAGTGGTGCCACCATAGCTTGATATTATGGAAATGGTTAAACCTATATCAGTGATGTTGTAATATCTGGTGATTTAGTGGGATTATCAGCAAGGCACTTCTCATAGCAATGAGATGTGAATTATCATAGTCTGAACAGGGAGTGCCAGGGCCATTTCTGAAATTGTAGAGACATTTGACATCCCCAATCAACAAGGTCACAAGTACAGTGGGAATACTAGAGAGGAGGCATTACTACCCATCATAGATAGTGCAGTAGCTGACCACAGGCCCAAAATGATCAGGATCAGAGGCATATAGCTAGAATAATCTAGAGAAACAACACTAGCCCAAATCACATCCACATTCAATGACTATCCACAGCTTTTCTATCTGTGGAATCAATGCTATGTCAAGCTGCTGCATTTTGCACCAAGCACATCAGATCATAATTTTATTTATATATATATATATATGTATGTTACAGTGCAAAAGTTTGAAGCCACACCCAGAATTAGTGTGGGATGAACTTGACAGAAGAGTGAAAAAGAAAGAGCATTAAAAAAGAATGGAATCAATTATCAAAGTTATACTTTGAGAAACTCGTGCAACAAATGCCAAAAGTTTGTGCTGCCGTAATCAAGGCTAAAGGAGGATATTTTGACAAGTGTAAAATTTAATCATAAAATGCTTTTTTCTTTTTGTCATAATAAAATTTCTAATAAAAAAATCATGTCTTACTTTTTTTTAAACTGTGTATAATAATTTTCTCTCATTTAAAGTACAAAACTACTATTTTGGGGGCTAATTTAAAAAATTACCAGAGGTTTCCTCAAACTTTTGAACTGTAGTGTGTGCGTGTATATATATATATATATATATATGTGTGTGTGTGTGCACATGCAGATTGGATGAAAAAATATTTTTTTTTATGCTGTTTTTTTATTTAGTTGTTATTTAAGAGCACACATTTTTATGGAAAAAATTTCTGCAACACTTATTAGTCTTTAATACTGAATTTTATTTTGAGATCTCTCAAATATATATGAATGAGGAAATATACTTTTAAGCTATGCTATATATATAAAGGTAGAACTACTCAATATCCAGGATAAAGTGTGTGTAAATATTAAGAAGTATGGGCACTGATGTCAACATGTACTTGAACACAATCTTCAGCTCCAGGCCTAACGATTGTGTTTAAACATGAAAAAAACTGTTGCTACTCAGTTATCTGTCACCTTGAATCCAGTTTGTTCTGTTCATTAATGTTTTTTCTCTGATTTTTTCACTTGCAGTAAGTTCTTGCTTCTCAGTGGCTTTATTGCCTTGCTTGGATTTAAAAAAAAAAATAGCAAGAAGGACAGGAAACAACCAGTAACTTAGCTAAGAAGCTTGTGTAAATCAATGGCAGAGATGTTGAAAGGACAAATCTTACTAAGAGCTACAAAGGATAGGAAGTTGTGAAGAGCCATGATTTACTGAAGGGACATGTCACATAGAAAATGAGGAATGCTGGGTTTAAAACATTAGAGCATAGCTTTCAATAGCGAACTGGAAAGTGTCTGTAGCCATTTAAGTTGCATAGTAACATTTTTGATACACCCCTTACTGCAGTGGGGTGTTGGGGAAATAATAAGTGTAATAGTTTTACCTTGTGATCCTGCAGCCAAACCTCAAGTTGAATTTCTGGTAAATAATAAGCCTTTATATACGTCTCCACATATTCTCTCTCAGGAATTGGTCTGTAAATGAAAAGAACATTTTCAGACAATAAAATAATGAGATGTAAATTCCTTCAAATAAAAGAAAATTTTAAAAGGAAATCAATTAAAACTAATCTAAGGCACAATTGATTATTCTCTTGCACACTTTTTAATTTTTTTGCCTAATTTCATATCTTTATAGATATCAGTCTGCTGACGCTATGGGGTTAACAGGTTAGTCCCTGAGGAAAGAAGCTTTTGTTTTAATAATCAGAATTTTAGAAAAAAAAAATTTTTTTTTATATATTATCTGTAATAAAATAATAACACTGACAAACAAGTATTTTATTGAATGATGCCGGATGCCTGATTCTAGGTAATTTATGTGCACTGAATACGAATTTCAACTCAGTTTGGCTCTATCAGGTCCTGATTCTTGTCAACAGCCTATATGCCATTTTCCAAATTAGGACTAAAAAATTAAGTCATGTATTAAATTTTTTTCCAAGTTTCATGAGTACAAGCAGTAAAATTACATAAATGGCTTAAAATAAAAAAAAGCAAACAGATATAAAGCTTTCACTGTGGCAAAAGTTTTTTTTATTTTTTTTTTTAACAAGACTTTCTAGAGTATTTTCTTGTTGATATCAGGTCTCTTTTCAAGCACCAGAAGTAATCAGCTATCATGTGTGAAATCCCAGCAGTCTTGGTACCGTTCCTCCATAATTTTGATATCTTGCTGGAATCTCTCCCTATGTTTGTTATTTACATCACCTAAATTACTTGGAAATTCAAAAATGCATTTTTACACTCATATTGTAACCTAAATCGTTGTAGTTCCTTACAATTTTTTTTTAAGGATTTATTTGTAATTATCTGCTCGAGAATTGCCTAAAAAAGTTTTCTATCAAGTCCATGAATGAGAACCAGTTATTTTTTCATGTTCATTCATGACATTAGGAAAATTGCTGTCTTTAATTAATGTACTTATTTGTGGACTGTTGAAAATTCCCGCCTTGGTTTAAATAGGAACTTATGAAATAGACACTTACAATTTATGAAATTAAACTAGAAACACAGATGAGTAGGTACAATATAAATTATGTCTAATTAAATCAACTATTAAATCATGATGACAAAATTACTCACTAAATCGCATGCCAATTCAAAATTATGTTAATGCCTAAACTTAATTGGCTGATTAACTTCAGAAACAAGTCGCTTTTATATATTTTAGTTGTCCCTCTAGAATATTCTATAGAAGACAGGAACACTCAAGAAAATTCTAGAATTCTACGATATTTTTAGCTTAATTTACTAATATTAAAATAGGTTAAAAAATGACAAAATTAAAAATATTTTTAGGGTGTTACATATAATACAAAAATATCATAACAATAGGTACAAATACCTAGATAAAAACCAACTTGCATAATGTGTAACTGCAAAAAGACTTTAGCGAGTATTGAGAAAAAAAAACATCTTTTTATGAATAGACTTAAAGAGGAGGTGATTTTGAGAAAAAATCAGGACCTGATAGAACAAAACTGAGTAAAGATTTGTGCTCAGTGCATCCAAATTACATAGAACTGTCAAATCTAATTCAATAGACAAAAAAAATTGAAATTTGTTCCCCAGTGTAATAATGCTACCGATTGATATATGTAAAATTAAATTTTTATCAAGGTGAACAGAATTTCTGACATTAAAGTACTTGGTAGTTAATGAGAACAATAATTACTGAATTTTATTAGAACAAAAAAATCAGACATTAAAATGCATTTCATAAAAGAAAAAAAGATGTTTAACAAAAAAATCTATAACTATAAAATGGTAATATCAAAATATAATAAAGATTAAAAACATCTAAAACTGTTTATTGGTCCCCCCTCTCAGAGCTAAAATTGAGGACAAAAAATGTGCACAGTAACTAAAAAAATGATACGACCCCAGACTAATGTTATATCTGCAAAAAAAAAAAAAAAACCAAAAATGCATTAATTAAAAACATTTAATAACCTTTAAGTCCACCAACCACTCCATCTGCTTACAGAGATGGTTGGTAGGACTTAACATACACTGATCTCAATACTTTCAAGTGATAATTAGCCTTACTCAACAGTGAGAACATGTCCAGTTTATAAGATCAAGAACACTGTTGGTTTTTAATCAAATGCTTAGCTATCACTGAACTTGATACATTAACCCACCTATGTAACTTATATTGAATCACAGATAGTAAAGTTCACAATACTTAGTGGATGTCAACCCAGTTTCATGATTTCTCAATCGCCAGGAATTTGTATTGATTATAGAATGCCTATTTTATTATTTCATAAACATTTATTTACATATGCTGACTTCCAAATTTAACAATTTTTTTCTACACGTACAACTGCCAATTTTTTTGGTTTTCTATAATGAATGAAAAGTTAAATAATCACTTTTTGTGTGTGTATATATCTGGAGGAAAGATGTATGGCAAAATGGAAAAAGTTTTTGTGTAACATGTTTCGTACCTTAGGACTTCATCAGACTAAGTTTGTTTACATTGATGTGACTACACTTGCACATGAATGAGAGATGCTGTGAATTTTAAATTTTGAAAATATCTTTAAAAAATTTAAAAAAAAAAAAAAAAAAAAAAAAGGTAAAAAAATATTTTGAATTTACAGTGTTATTGCATAATACATCCATAGATATGCAACCCCTGAAGGTGGCCTCAGATGAAATTGAAAGTACTTGGGAAAATAATTATTTGAAAAGAAATTTTAGAATTTTTCTTAATCAATTTTCTACAGCCACCAAGAAATTAATTTGAAAGGATTGTATAGCTGGCCACTCATATTCAAGGATGCCCGTCTACTAGGGCAGCTAGCCAATCCCTATTGCAGATGCTTGCTCAGGCACATTTGTGTTTATTCAACACCCAGAGCCCACCTGTGGTTTATACTGCAACTATGCTGAGCAGACCTTAGTTATAGTTTCTGGGAAAGAGTATGTATCTAGCGTGATCAATAATTTGAATAAAGCCAACACATTCAAGCCCTCAGCCATGATGACATGTGACCTCATGCTAGCACAGCTATCGATAGCTTTCAAGTCTATCCAATTTCACTCACAAGGCTTGAGTCAACCTGTGGTATGGTTTTCAGGCACTTTGCATGCTGGGATCATCCCCATTCCAGATTGATAGTATAAGGAAGTCGCCTTCCTGACAAATCGACTGTAGTGAGATTTGAACCTGGGTCTTATGGTCAGAATGCAAATGGTCTAACCACTTGACTACGAAAGGATTAAAACTAAAATAAATAAACATAATATGTCTAAATCATTATAAATGTAAACAAAAATATTTAAAATTAACATTTATCTATTTCATAAGATAAATACTTATTTTAATATTTTATATAAATTATATTATTGACTTTGAATATACATCAGACTGAAGTCATAACATTAAGAAACAATTCAGATTTAATTTTATTAAGTTATTAAGCCCTTTTTTTGTTTTTTTTTAAAGTAAATATTTTCATTAATTACTTGAATGAAGACTATTTGATTTTGAGTAAATATCTTCTTACCTTATATCAACAAATTTTTCTAGCTTGGTGAGAAATTGTTGAAAGTCAAGTTGCATCCATGCACGGCCTTCATTGCTGCATTTTTTTGCATTTGCATATCTGGAAATAACAAAATGAAAATAAAATAAAGAGACATCAAGAAACTTGAGAGAATTGGAGATTTTAGATTCTTTATTGAAAAGCTGAAGAATACAGCCAACAGATCAAATGTCTAAAATTCCATTTGGAAAAATAATTTAAAAAACAGAGACATTGGTAAAAGATATTAGTTCTACTTTTGGTATTATTACTTCAAGAAATGCTTGACAGCATGAACCTTGAAACCCATATACATCAAGATGTGACTAAACATTGATACCAAAGTTCAGATCTGACCAAAAGTTGTAATGATTATTTGAAGAAGACGTAAATGCTCCTATGGTGAATGTAGGAACTGAAAAATATGGTCATTTGTTTAAAACTGTGGAAAACTAATAATTCTCTGAGGATTGACTGCCTGATTTGGTTTTTTTACAGCTTCTAAAACCATTGTAGGGAATTCAATATAGATTGTAATTTGGGAGATGGAGGGAGGGGGAATATTGCATTAATAATTTTTTAGGAGATAAAAATGATTTTTTCACATACAAACCCTACTATTTAACCCATATCTGGAGAGAAAAGAAATGGATTTATACCTTTCCCAAGGGTATTTGTAAGTGAATGTAATGATGATTTTCTAAGCATGGCTGAGATGTGGCACAAGGTCGAAAGAATGGGGCCCCCAATGAGGATTGAACTCCCTATTCATTTGTAATTGTTCTGATAATGACAGTTAAGGAAATCTGAAATATTTAGTTCTAGAAGTAACATAAGAAAACAATGTTGGTTAAATTTTCTATTGTTTGTAGACAACAAAGACAAATATGTTAGAATTCCACTTGTTCCTTCATTAGCACAACTGTTACTCCTTGCCAATGTCTCAGAAATAATGGACTACTTTGTTTTGATTGTGACAAAAGATGAAAAAGATGTATCAGAGATACTGTTTGGTTTCAAAGAGAGAAAGAAAGAAAGAAAGAGAAGATAGAGGAGATGATAATGCTCTCATGTGTTTAATGTCTGCTTCAGGGAAATTTGTGAATTTCAAATCTTTACTTCTTTCAATAGTGGACTGCATTCATATTTATGATTTATTATAATATTTTATTAAAGTTGTGGAACTCGTAAGGAGCTTACTTAATGATTAGCTTTAGAATTAAAATGCGTCCAAAAATTCAAATAGCAAAACTATGAAATTTTCAAAGGTAAATGTTATTGTGATAGCCTCAGAAAGACAAAAAGCAAAAAAAAAATACAAAAAGGTAATTTTTATTGGATGATATTCTTAATTCTGATTCACTCACTGTGCACACTGAAAAAAAGTAAGAATTTTCCAACTAAATTCCCTTTCAAGGAAATTCAGATTTCCTAACTTGCCTAGAACGATGAAAGTTAAGATAAAAATAGCAACACTACAAAAGACTTACCCTTCAACAAACATGCGGTTGGCCAACCGCACACAATGCTCCCACAATGTATCGTGGACAACTTTGGAGATGGGAACATGTCGGCTAACCTCATGTAGTCGAAACTTGAAATCTTCAAAACTCTGGAAAAAAAAAAAAAATCAAATGCATGCAAATTATTGATTTTATTTTTAATTCATATTTTCAGTTTCAATTATAAAAAAAAGTTTAGTCAGGAAAATGATTTTTTTTTTTAAAGTCATAAATAAAAAGAAGTTAAAAACTATGGACTGTGGGGATAGAACAAATGGCTGCAATATAAACAAAAATGTTCTCACAGTGTTTGACACTTTTAACACAATGTTGGAAATCTGACTTTCAATTGTAAAAAAAAAATCCAAGAGACTAACATGTCTACACAAAAAACAATACCCTGTCTAGTGGCAAAAGCTGCTGATAGTGCCAAGGGTGGCAGTACTGCCTTAGCTACCAAAACTGAGTTACATCCCCTGGTTGGCAGCTGATGAGGGTAGGGTATCACATATGCTTTCAAATGTATGTAGGAAAACTGGTGGGTTTATTTTTTATGGCTTATCAACCTTTTGTGGGTTATTTAAAGCTGATGTTCTAATAGAAAACCCGGCTTAGCATCTGGCAGAATGAAATGAAAACTTGAAGCCTCAAAATGTTTTCATTATAGTATTTTCACTTTTAAGAAAATCATATCTGGCTTATACATGAATTATTTTAAAGTACATTGAATTCAACTTTCATAATCTTTAATATTCATTTATTCTTATCAAAGAATGAAGAAGACATGGTCAGATTTAGAAGTAATTGATGAAATAGAAATTATATTGTTTAAATCACTGCACATAACCTTCTGCCAAGGTTAAAAGTGGCTATGCAAAATTACTATTGCCTGCATTCTATGTTAGGTTACTCTGAGTGCTAATAGTACTATGTAATCCATTGCTACCAGTCACATGGTTGGGTCAGTAGTGACTAAACCAGTTCCCTCTACAAGGCCTTTTTGATGAGGAGAATAGACACCCAGCAGGCTCAAAAACAAGACCTGTCAAAGAACAGCTGGACTGAGAGTTTTCAGTCAGGGTGGAGGGTTTCTTTGATGGAATTAATGGCCATGTGGTTGGGATTAAGGTGAGATTTCCATTTGGAAGGTCTATTTGTGTAAGACATGTTATGCAAGAAGGAATATCTCTCTGGCTTACAATCTAGATATGTGGAGTGACCTGGTCAGGGGTCTAACTACCCTATGACCACACCCGACCATGGGACTGATGATGGTGAAGACCACTTGTATTGTTATGATGGTAAAAGTAAAAAAAAATAAAAACTTGAATGCATTCTATATATATTTACTTACCTTGAGTATTATATCAACATAAGTATTGTGTTGTGACATGATATCCTTTACGTCCCACTTGACCATGGACATTTGATAAACAAGACTTGTATAATCAATGGCTTGGGTAGAAACAACACGATAAATAGGCTTCCTCAGCTCAGCAGCCATCTTAACTGTCTGCACTCAAAGAAATGGGAAAAATATATATATATGTTTACACAAGAAAATTCTTTTTTATTCAAATATAAAAATATTTGAATAATGAAGATGTTTGTCTTTGTAAAAAAACAATGTCTTTGGAAATAAAATATACATTATTTATTCACTTGATCATCGATAATTCTATTTTATCTATAGACTGGAGACTGAATAACCTGCCTAACACCTAAATGGACAACAGACTAAAGACTGGTATGAGAACAAATGTTCCTTAAAGTTAACAAAGGACAGGGAGCTATGATATGGAGAGCCATGACTGCCTATGTCCTGAGACGTAAATAGACAACAGACTAGAGACTGGTATGAGGACAAATGTTCCTTAAAGTTAACAAAGGGGAGGGAGCTATGATATGGAGAGCCATGACTGCCTATGTCCTGAGAGGACACAGCATGTAAAAATAAAAGCATACTAGAAAATTTTAAAGTAGGAAGTGTTATAAAAGAGTGTATATAAAATATTAGCATTTGGCTTTCTATTTAGTATATTCAAAAGTTTTTACATTTCTTGTCAAATCTTTTAGCTTTAGAATTGCCAGTTATTCATTGTCCCCAAGGAGGATTATGATCTAAAAGATTAGGTCCAGTTCCTGAGCTATTTGCAGTTTTGCTTGTTCTAACGCATGACGTGAACTTTTAAAAAAATTATTTCACCCCAAGCAAGCAGATAATGCCACAAGGATGCAAGAAGTTACTGGGAGTGAAAGAGAATGAGATTTTAGTGAGCAGAAATGACAATAAAAAAAAAACAGATTTCAGGAAGATAGAAGATAGCGATTGACATTGCATTTAAATGTTTGAAGATTGTAGGTGATAGGGAAGCAAGAAACTAGAAGAGAGTTCCACAGGCAAGAAGTGTGAGAAAAGAAATTATTAGAATAGAACATATGGTTAAATGTTGCAAGTTTAACTGTAAAAAAGTGAAACCTAGTTGCCAATGTCATAGCACACTTAAATTCATGCAGTCAAGGCACTGTGGAGGACAGCTCATCAGAACAACTGCCATAAAAATATTTGTAAAAAAGACAGAGGGAAGTCATGTCATGTTGGTGAGAAAGTGAGTGGATTTGAGATGCCAGATCAGAATATGGTTTCCTTTTGTGTAATCTTTAGTTTTTCAAAAAGGCGAGCATTTGGAACTTTAATTTTACTAGCTAAAGTGCCTAGGGAAGAAGTATTGGATCACAGATGGTTATAATAACAGTAAAACAAGTCCTTAATATTGATGGCGATGCTTCTGTTAGAGTGTCAACAAAATCAACTGATTATAAACAGTTTTGAAAAGTCATAGAAATTTTGTGAGACATCATTTTTTTGTAGGCAAACAATCAGTTTCCATGCCTATCACTGATTAAATTTCTCTGTTGTTAATTGAAAGAGAAAGCCAAAGAAATTGACTGCTTATTGTTCTTCACATACATTATTATACTTCGGGGATTGAGGGACAAATGCTGATAGTGGAATTCTCTTTATTTGGCTGTTTAAAGAAGATTTTCAATGTAACTAGTAGAGACTTCTCTTGAAAATGGACAAAATTTGGCATCATAGTTTTAGCAAGTACCTGCAGAAAAAGGGTTTAGCTCCCAAAGACATTCGTGCTGACATAGTTGCTATATTAGTGGGCAGTTGAAGTTAGAAAGGAAAGGGAGAGTCTTGAAGATGACTCAAGTTCTGGATGTCCTGCAACTGCTACACCAGAGGAAAACATTGAGTGTGTTCACAACATGGCGATGGATGACAGAACTATAAATCAAATAGCTGATGCTATTAACCCTGGAACACTAACCATCAATTAAAGTTACACCACTACTAACCATGGGTATATCATACCCGATTTTGAAAATATAAAAAAATATATTAAATATAAATCTTTATTTGAAATATTTTACATGCAGGCACATCAAACTTTGTACTTTGAGTTAACATTAATAGGAACTGAAAAACATTATTTAGGTAAGAAGATCATGTACTGAAAATCGTAATTAAAAACAGGAAAATTTGTGCTGGGTACTATATACCCATTGTTAGTGTTCTAGGGTTACCATATCCTGTGAAAGAATTATGAATATTCTGCACAATGAACTTGGCATGATGATGGTTTCTGCTCAGTGGTTTTCTAAAACCTGATCAAAAGTACACAGGCTGATTACACCACGGAAAAATCTAATATTGTTTGAGGTAGATCAAGCTGCTTTCCTAATCCAGGATGAGTGTTGGGTTCATCACTTTGTCAAAGAGACAATCCATGCAGGGGAAACACCCCTCACTTGCTCCAAAGAAGGCCAATATTATTTCATCTTCAGGGAAGCCTCAATTTTCTGGGATGTAAAAAGACATTGTATTTATTGATTATCTTCAAAAGGGTCACACCATCAATGGAGAGTACAAGGCAAACCTGCTGGGGAAGTTATGAAAGGCTATCAAGACCAAGCACTCAGGAAAACTGATGAAAGGAGCCTTGTTTCATCAGAACAATATTCCAACACACAAGTCCTTGGTTCCAATGGCTGCTGTGCATTACTTTGGCTTCGAGCTGGTTGATCACCCTGTTCTCCTGAGTTGGCCCAATCTATCATGTTCCTCAACCACTTGGCTGGGAACCAGTATTGCAGTGATGATGATGACTACATATACTGCTGTTGAGGACTTTTTTGACCAACAGGATGAAAGCTTCTTCACCAATCGGGTCCAAGCACTGCAACATTGATGGAAAAAGTGTGTGAACTGTAAGGGGGGAGGGACTATGTTGAAAAATAAACCTCGTTTGGTCACATCGTGTGTGTCAAAACATTTATAATAAAAGAGAAATTATAGTCTTATATTGAATGGTTACAAATGGTAAGTGTTACTGCTAAAGATAAATCTATATGACAGGAAAGAGGAAGACATGAGAAATAGAAAAGGTTTTTATATTAAAACCTTCCCCATGATCCAATAAGTATGCATACCAAATTTGATGGCTTAACTGTGTATAGTAAACAAACAAACTCTTCCCAATTAATATATAGATTGTGGATCACATGACAAAGTTAATGATCCATTAACATGAAGATCAATAAATATTGTTCATAATTGATAAGATATTAACAAAACCTTAAATTAAAATCCCTTAAAATTTGTTAAATAAATGCATACCAAATTTGAATGTTTTTAAAAGCAATAATTTTAACCTGATATAAAGATAAACATAATTTAAACATCTTCAACTGGGACATTTATTTTTAATATATATATAGATTTTTGTGAAAATGATGTATCATATTTTTATGATGACACATGAAAGTTAAATTTGATATCCATTAACTTTAGGATTGAAAGTATAAATAATTAAAATCAATAAATATTGCAGATAATTCATAATTGATAAAACAATACTTTTAAACAAATAAAATAAAACCGAAAAATTAAAATAGACAAAAACTAAATAAACAAAAAATTAAAAATTTGCACACATAAACGCAAGTAAATGTAATAATTAATAATAAACAAAATTAAATAATCAATAAATAATGAGTAAAACACTAGATCTACAATTAACCATATTCTATATATAAATTATTCCTACTCAATAGCTTATAATTTCAAACATATCCATTACACATTTTCCATTTATTCTGAATGTTTTAGAAAATAAAACTATATATATATATAATAATTTGTAAAAAATAGCTATTAATATAAAATCTTAAAACCTGATAGCAAAGATGAATTACAAAAATGAAACCCAAATTACCCCATTCAGATGGCCATTGTTTCCTGGGAGATTCTGCCTAGGACTTGTCGTGCCAATACATTTATTAAAAGAAATTTAATTTCAGATCCCAGGAGGGAAATCCTTGATGGCTTTGGTTTCATTTTTAAGATATTTTATTTAATTTAATTTCAGATACTTAAAGAATGCTATGGTCATAAGAAAGATATAACACCGAAAGGAGAAAAAAAAAAAAAAAAAGGGACCACAATTGGAAATTGCCAAAATGTTGAACAGAAATCACAGAATGATCCAAGAAGAAATTGAAAACATTGACAAGAAAAATGGCTTCAAGAATTTCACAAGAGAAAATATTTGAAGAAACTTGTGTTGCAAAAAGAAACAGAGAGAAAAGATGCAGAATATTTTGTCTGTTTTCATGTCTTTAGTTAAACTATCAATTTTAAGTCAAGATTGCAAAGAGAAATGTGCCTGCTGGTTGAAGAAATATATAGAAATTGATTTTTAAACTAATTCTTACTGATGAATGCAGATTGAGTGATTCGTTTAACAACCCTTTGCAAGTTATTTAAAGCCAGAAAATATTCTTAGATTATAAGAATTTGGGTGGGGGAGCAGAGATAATTATTTAGTGACACAAGTCTTACTAATTAACCCATAGCTGGGGGGAGAAGAGGCAGATTTATACCTTTCGCAAGGTTATTTGCATATAAACGAATATGATGAACAAAACGGGAATTGAAACTTGACTCTCCGATTAACAATTCTGAGTCATTATCCATTACACCACCCACACACCCAAGTTTTAAGTGCCTGGTATTCCCATCTACATACTGACCAAGCTTGATGTTGCTTAATTTTGGTGATCGTATGGGAACTGGTGCTTTAATGTGATGTGGCCATAAGATATGAATGTAGAGCAACATTGGATAGGTCTGATAGCTGGGTGTAGGATTGGGTGATCTGTGAAAATAATCAGTCAAGAGAAGACAACAGGAAGGAGATAGAGTTATATTTTTGGGTAGTGTTGGAGGCAGTAAAATTAGAGGTTGCTTCAAACTTGATTCCAAGATAAAGTTCCTGGACAAGATGTCTTTTGTGTTGTACATATCACAACCAAAAATGTTTAAGCTAAAGAGTATATTTCTGCAAGATAATACTTCTTCACATTCTGTAAAGCTATTGCCCACCTCATAAAAAAAAAGGCTTCAAACACCATACTGATGTAATGGCTCTCGGCCTCTTCAAATATTAATTCAATAAAAAAATTTATGGTCCACCATTAAAATAACCATATCTAAGAATGGAAAACAATATTATACAAGGAAGATCTCTGAGAAGTAATAAAAACTGTTGCAAGTCATGTTAAAATCAAAAGAGTAAAAAACGTTAAAGTCAGTAGTTGAAAGAATGATGAAGGTTACAGAATATCAAGGAGCCCATGTTAACGTGTAAAATAAAATAATAATTTATTCAAATAGATGTGATATTATATATGTTTCTGCAGCCTAAATCTTTTGGGTTTATTTATAAATAGACACTTATGCTGAATTTTCCAAAAACAATTATCAATATTTTAAATAATCAAATGATATACTACTATCTTGAAAATTTTATCAACATTGTTCAGTAAATAGCAATTTTATTATGAAAATATCGACTTGCAAAAATAAGGTTGACATAGTGTATATCAAAAGGAAAGATTTGATTCTGTCAGATAAATATTGTGAAATGATTGAAAACCATTTGACAATATTCAACGGCAGTAAAGGTAAGAAATGAAAAGATTTGAAAAAAAAATTGAACCTGGGAATAAAACTGTTGCAGGAAAGCTTTTTTATTCTGTGGAATAGTGCCGTCCAAATAGGACTGCAAGAACTCAAACTGTTCGGCCAGGAACACACTGAAAGACAAAAAAAAAAAAAAATTAAAATTACAAAAATGTATAGAAAATACAAATATTAAAAGCTTCCCCAGGAAAGAAGTGTTTTGCTTATTAAAAAATTGTATTTTGGCATACCCCCAACTTCACAAAAAAGAGAAAAATAAGATAAACTTTTTCAGTTGATAGGCAAATACTTTTCAATTGATAAACAAATACTTTTTCAATTGATAGACAAATACTTTGTAAAAGTTTTGATTTCATTGATTTGTTTTTTATGGCTTATCAACCTTTTTTGATGTTATTTAAAGTCAAAACACACTTTTTAGGATTGGAAGAATTTTTGGAGGTAAAAATGATTTTCTAATATAAGTCTTAATATTTAATCCATAGCTGGGAGGAGAACAGGTGGATTCATACACTTCCTGAGGCTATTTGCGCATAATTAAATATAACAAACCTGGCTGGAATTTGAACTCTGCTCCCCGATTTCTCATTCTGAGCCTTTATCCATTTCTCCATTCATACATCCAAGTTTACAGTACCTGATATTCCCCAGCAGTCACCCATCTAAGTACTGACCAGGTTCAACATTGCTTAACTTTAATGTTTGAATGTGATATGGCAGAAAACCAAATGTTTTGAGAGACTTTCCATTTTTTCTACTGGGTATTTATAAACATTAAACATTGCACTCTGTATCAAATGACCCTTGCTAACAAAAGTCCAAATTGAATGATGGATATTCTACTCACAGGGATTCAGCAGCAACAATCCGCTCAGATAATCCATATAATTTTTCTCGGTTGGATAAGTCCACAATTGGTGAAAGGTGAGCTTGTGGAATTTTGTCCTGGAAAGCACAAAATTAACAGCAATATATAAAATATAAAAAAAAATCAGCAATTAATATTAATTTGGAAAAAAAAAAAAAAAATGAAGTGTTAAAAGGACAGTTTTTCCATTGACTCCACTATTATTTTAACTACCTTCACTCCTCGGCAATGTTTGTTTTAAAAAGCTGTAATTAGAATTCTAATAAAACCTAAAAATATGACGAAAGAGAATTTATATCATTTTTGGTTTTTGCTAAGTGATAACAAAAATATTACACACTATCCATTTATTAGATCGTTTACTGACAAGAATAATTTTATATTTACAACGTTCTAAAAATTAATACAGTTGTATTAAATGTAATGCAATATTTATTATTTACCAATTTATGAAGAAATAAATATGAAAACAATTTTTTATCCATAAATTTATAAACATTTACTAAATTATTAAAATATGGGAACAAACTATAAGGAAATCTTTATTATTTACCATTTTATCAAGTTTGAATCAACTTGCAATTAGCCAATGTTTGGTGACCATTCCAATAAACAATCTAATAAATTGTGTTTTCAGTTTTCAAGAACAAAGAAAATGTATAAATTTATTGTCATATGATTAAATTTTATTATAATTCTAATCATCACTTTTTAAAACACTAAACATTGCCGAGAAGTGAAAATAGTTAAAATAATATTTGTGTCAAGGGAAAAACTGTCCTTTTGACACTCCGATTTTTTGTGGATATGAAGGTCCAAGTTTGCCAAAGATTGTAACTGTGAATGAATATAAAAAAATAATAAAAGTCTTATTTTCATTGGGCAAAAAATTAAATTGGAATATATCTATGCAACTATTTATACACAAAGAAATGGAAATACATAGGGTGCTTTTTAATTCAGCAACCTTAAAATCTGACCATTGCCAGAGCCCACCAAATCCAAAATGTTGGCTAGCAGAAATTTTAGAAAATAAGAAAAAAAATTATAATTAATAAAAAAACATTTGTAATATAAATTATATAAATTAAAATTGTATTTGTTTGTCTATGTTTTTTTTAATTAGGTCGTATTAAAAATAAATTATTAGATTCAAAAAACCAAATATATGTTTAAAAGCAAAATTCAAAATCACAGGTTGTTGAATGTAGAGTACTTCAAATTGATTCAATAACTTTTTTTCTAAACACATTTTAGCTTAATGAGTATATTTCACAAATGTTAACTGTATCAAAGAGCTCTACTAGCAGATCCACAGACTAAAGACATTCGATTTTGTGCTAGGCCACAGATTGCCAGATGGGAGAGGTACAGAGAATGATAACTTGTAATGGTAATGTTAGCTATTTACCTATGAGGGAATTCATTGAATGAACAGCAAGTACTGCTTTTGGTTGAAATTTATAAAATTTTTTTCTTAAAACATTTTTTCAGGAAAATAGGTTTCTCAAGTCCAGTAGTTGTTACTTTTTTCCCAGATGACAGTTTAGAAATTTCTGAATGCATTTGATGCCCTGCATGGTATACTTATTAAAGTCTCTATCTGATGAGGCTATTTAAGAATATGACTAGAATTTTCATATTGATGTTTTGGGTGACACTATCTCAGGCATGACCTAGTCAATGTTCAATTTCCTTTTCGCCTATACTTAATAGTCATTATTATGACAATTTATTTTAAAAAGATACATATTTATCTAATAGTAATAAATAAATATTTTGAGGCATCATCGTTTGGTATATTTGAGAGATACTAAGCACATGACCATAGTATGCTTTGTTTTATTTCATATCAAGTCCAAAGTTTATGCAATATAGAAATCTGTAGAAAGTCTTGATGTGAAGAAGTTATATGTCAATCTAAAATGAATGGTTTATTTTGTTTTTGGTGCCCAAAGAGAAAATAAATCTTCAACCTAATTATAATTGGTAAAGAAATCCTTTTGTATGCATTTTTTAGAATGATATGTCAGTTCATAATAAATGTTGTTGGCCTCAATTATATGTTTACTATAAAAACAAAATATAATCAAAAACTTAATTCAGGATGTGCATTTTCATAATACTTAAATAATCATAAAATCATTTAAGATTCATTTTTCACAAATATAAACCAAAGTTTTAGCTGTAGTATATGACACATGCGAGGAAATATTACAATTTTGAATGAAATCTTATGCTCATCGAGAACCTTTGATCTAAGAAGAGTTTATCTGTAGTGACCCCAATATGTACTGGTTTAGACTAAGAGATACCAAAATAGGCTTTGTAGTTGGTGTCACCTCAGAATATCAAAAGAGCTACATGTCTCAGAGAGCTGACCTAGATGATGATCCCTAAAGATACCAAGTGTAGAATGGGGTCTCAAGGCACATCAGTGGGAGTGTCAACATAAGCTAGTAAGTGAACTTATAACACAAAACAACCAGATGACAGGGAGGTAAATATATGCCTGAGCCATGAGGGGGGGGGGGGGGGATGGGTTCAGTCAGTCCCTCACATCCTTGCAAGAAGATCGAATGTTCAAAGAAAGTCCTCAAAAACTACATAATCTCCACAACTGACATTAATTTAATAAAAGTCCAGAAGTGAATAAACAATGATTCTACATATGAAAAAACTTAGTCTTGTATTATCATATATCATTAACATAACATTACATAAACTTAAATCATAGCAGGTCCAATCATATTTTGTAGTCCAATTCTTGGCAAGGAGTTACAACAATTTGTCCAATCCAATCTACTATCTTCAATGAGTGTACAATCCATAAGTAAAGACAAAGAGGTGTTTATTTTTTCTGAAAATAATGAGGGACAGAAAAGAAATGATAAAAAATGGGGATGAATCGAACTAGTTGGTAGATTTTTAGAGAGGGGGGGGAATAGATACATCTTTCTTTTCTTATGGAATTTATAGCTGAGGATGGCTGCAGAATGAATCAGCTGAAATGCTGTTATAACAAAAAAAGTTCAGTGATTTAAACAACTCTAGCAAGCTTAAATAGCTTCTTTTTCCTCTTTTTTAAGAGTTACATAAAATAAATATCTTAAATGAGAAAAGAATTAAATGCTGATACGAGACAATAAGTAAATGCTTATTGATTCTTACTGTTCGTTCTTCAGGGGCTCCATTAATACCAGGGACAGTCTCATCGGCAATGAGGCTTTCATGGATTCTTTGTAAAGAGATTTTTAGACGATTGTTCATTGTACGGTCGTTGATTTCAGGCTGGAAACAAAAGATAAGAAAGAAAAAAAAAAAAGGAGGAACTAAAATCAGCAAAGCATTTTTCATTTACTGAAATATAAACATTAAAGCAATAATATGCATTTATCAGTCTCAGGAGACTAATAAGCTTACTAAGAGTGGCTAGCAGATCCCTGCTGCAGATGCTTGATCAGGCATAATTATTGGTACAATAAGGTCATATTAGCAGCTGATCTCAAAAATGACCTACAATCTGTTGTTAACTGGGGCAATAAATGGCTTGTTAATTTTAACACCTCCAAAACAAAACTGCCTTCTTTTAATCATCTGAGATAACCCTGTTTACCTTCTCTATCAGTATGGCTGATGCTAACCTCCAGGAGAGAGATTCATTGCACCTTCTTGGAATAGCATCCCCTCTGTTGACATGAAGTGGGAAGATAATATTGAATCTATTGCTACGTTTGCAGCTAGGAATGTTGGTTCACAGTGTTGTACTAGACAATTTTATCTCACCAGAATCTATCTTAGAGATATATAAGTCTACCATTTGTCCATGCTTTGAATATTACTGCCATATCTAGTCCAGTGCTCCTGCTATATATTTAGAAATTCATGATAAAATCCAAAGAATCTGCAATGTTATACGTTCTGACTTGGAATCTTGACTTCAGTCACAACATAGTTTCACTGTGCCTTTTTTATAACTACTTTTATGGTAATTGTTCTGATGAACTTTCCTCTATGGTACCTAGACTTTATGAATTTAAGTGTAATACTAGATTGGCCGTAAGATCTTATCATTTTACAGTTGAATTTGTTAGATGTAACTGTAACTATATGCAGTTTCTTCTATTGCACTTCTTGCATGTGGAACTCTTTTCAGGCTCTTTACTTCCTAATCAACTTTGAACTTCAAAAATTTAAATGCAATGTCAATTGCTATCTTCTCTCTTCTTAATTCTTGTTCTTTTATTATTCTCTCTCTTCATTAGCAGTTTTTCTCATATTCTCAAACACTCAGTAACCCCTTGTGTCTTAGTGGATTTATTACCTTGCTTGGGGTGAAATGATTAAAGAAAAAAAAAAATCCACATCCACAGAGCCAACGTGATTTATACTGCAACTTTTGTAACAAAATAAATGAAAAAATATAAGAAACATACTGTGAAATTTATTTGTGGGTTTGAGATTTTTCTGAAAAATCATTAAAGTTTCTTGGAGAGAATAGCATAACCTTGCGAGATCAGCAGTTTGATTGAAGCCATTATGCTCAGACTTTTGGTCATAATGACTTGTGACAAGCACAACCATCAATGGCTTATGAACAATTTTATCTACCCAAATTTAATAAAATATGCTTAAAACTTGCACACACCTAATAAATAAATCTATATAATAAATGCAAGTGTCAGTGTGTCACACTTTTTCAGATTTTCAGTAGGTCAGGTTACAGAAATTTTGCATTCCCAAGTTTTCATTACTGAAATTGTTTTTGGCAATATTTTTACGGCAAATTTTTTTGCATGATAATATTTATAACAAAAGTCACTCATGAAATAAAAATAATGGTTTGTATGAAAAGTAAGGACCTACACACATCAACTTGTCTCTAAATTAAGTGGCAGCAGAAGAATTATTGTTGAACTTAGTAAGCTTAAATATTAATGCAATACTTAAATGCAGTGATCACTTTTGAGTTCATTTGTAGTTTATTGTTGCCTATCGCATACGGTAGCTGTATGCCTTGCAAAAGAGAAATCTCTGACAACAGAGGACCAGATTGCAATCAAAAAAGCTAAGGCTGCAGCAAGGAAAAGAAAGTCCCATGCAAATGAAAACCCAGATCAAACGGCAGAGAATATGCAAAGACTTAGGGACTCTCAAACTCCTGAACAAGCTGAAGACCTAATTAAGGGCCGTCAGCAGAAGCTAGCTTAAATGCCACCCAACAGAGCAGCTTTTACACTAGTATATAATAATGGTTGGTTGCTCATTTCTGTGTACACTCGTGTGCTAGGGTGTACAGCTAATCCCTGTTGCAGACACCCACTAAGGTATATTTGGGTTTCTTCAACAAACACAGAGCCAACCTGTAGGTTAAACTGCAGCTATGCTGAGCAGATCTTAGAGATTCTAGGAGAGAGTGTGCAATCTGGCATGATCAGCAGTTTGAACTAGACTAATACACACAAACCCTCAGTCTCAATGACTTGTAACTTTGTGCTTGTACAATCATCAACAGTTTCCAAACAGCTTTTTCTAACCCATTTCAGTTACAAGGCCAAATTTAACATTTGTCATGGTTTTCAGGGACTTTCCAATGGCGCTGCATACTGGGATTCTCTCAATATTATCATGAAGTTACGTCATTGACAAATTTATGAGGGCCACAAATGTTCTAACTACTTGGCCACACACCTGGATATAAATGAATAATTACTGGCTGTCTGTTTCAGTGGCTAGCTAATCCCCTAATGCAAACACCTGCTCAGGCACATTTGTGTTTCTTTAACACTTCCAGAGTCAGCTTCTGGTTTATACTACAACTAAGTGAACCATTGTTACAGTTTCTGAGAGAGAATGCATATGTTGATGAAATCAACGGTTTGAACAAGACCAGTGTGCTCAAATGATTACTTGTGACTTTGTGTTAAGACAAGCATTAACAAATTGACAATGGAGAGATTTGAACCCAGATCATGTGGCCAGAGCAGTAATTTTCTAACCACACATCCACTGATGGAAGAAAAAAAGGAAAGAAACACAACATAAATCTTTGGTTAATATATAAATGGTACTTTACATCAGCTAGTTTAGAAAATTCTCAGTGTTGTAAATGATCAGAAACCAATACAGGTAGTGTATGTAAACATTTAACGAAGAAGGTGGCTTATCAGGTATCCAGGGGGAAATAAAGAAGGATTAATGGCCAGAGTTACATTTCTATACGTTATAGTCTTTATAGACTCTTCAGATAGCCTGGATTAAATATTCTTTTTTTGTGAGGAAAGAGAGTCAATCGGAAATTTACACTTACCCCATCAGAGGCAAAGAATATATAAACCTAGAGAAAAAGAAAAAAAGAAAATAATTTGTTAGAGGAACAACATACAGTGTATATGAAAAAACAAAATCTACAATTAATTTAAACGTATATATTATTTTACTTACAGTGTACATATAGTAGTCAAACAATTGAGACATACAAGTAATCACATCAAAAGCAATTGGTTTCAGAATCGTCATCATCTTCATGTAACGACCTGAAGACAGAGAAATAAACATATATTTTTATGAGAAATATAACTGTGAAACTCTGAAAACAGTTCAATTTGGAATTCAGATATAATAATTTATTTAATTTTGATGGGTTCTTTCTTAAATAAAAAAAAAACTTAACAAATATTTTAAAAAATAATTCAAAGATTTCAATTCAATTTTTTAATTATTTCATTTATTAAAATGTTTATTTAAAATTTATTGAAGAATTTATTTTAATTACTGAGTTTATTAAGTTTTAGATTTATTCAATATTTGATGTATAAGATTCTATATTAGCTGTGTGCAAAAGTTTCCATCAAAAACTTTTTTTAACTATGTATTCAGTCAATATTTTTCAGAAAGAATAAATAAAAATCATTGTAAACTTTTGCACATATTCATTAAAATGAGTATTTAAGATTTATTTTAAATGTAATATTTATTTAAGATCTTATTTTAAATGGAAATTAAATTTTAGATTGCTGTGGATTGGTGAGGCTGGTGCATCAGACAATGTTAGTTTTTTGGGGTAATTCACATCAATCTTTTTTTTTCTTCATAATATTAAAATCAGTTTGTAAAGATGACCTATCTATATTTTGTGCAAGTTCTGTAATTTACCAATTTAAGTGCCAGTGTGAAGCTGACTACATAGGTAGGACCATTTAACTCTTAAAGAAGAGAAAATTTGCTTAAGTTTTTCATTACATCCATGTTAGCAATGTTGCCCATTAAAAATTGGGAACATGCATTATCCTTTTGAGACTATATTCTGAGTGGATCACATTCTGTCAGTCATTTGAAAGTCCTTGAGACAATTTATATTAAATCAAAACAACTATCCTTATGCAAACAAAAGGTTTTTAGGACTATATATTATTGATGTGTGTGTATTATTCTTCTTTATGTTCCACTTTTATAGTCAGTGTGTGCAATATTTTAATTTCTTTGATCAAATTCTAACAAGTGAGGAATAATAATTGGTTAGCTCTTACGATAGTATTTTTTCCTCTTTTCATTTTTCTTCTTCTTCTGTTCTTTTTTTTTACTGTAGTAGTTGTTATATTCTCTTTGTCTGTTTTTATTGAATTAATTAAATTTTAAATAAATCTTTAAAATTTTAATAAGATAAAAAAAATGAAATAAAATCTGTGTGTGTGTGTGTGTGTATGTTAAAGTGCTGATGACAGGGGGTATCAGCAGTTTTGACCCCCAAGGACCAGTAAGTGTTCTAGAGGAAAAACATATCCATTCATAAACCCTGGCTATTGGAACGCTCTACAGAAACACAATAAAATTATAGAGTAAACACTTGTGCTAATCAATTTTCTTATAAATCAAAATTCTCCTCCTCCTTTTCATAAGCATAAATCACAAACCTCTACAACCTATATTCTCTTGAGATGTTCATTTTCTGTTCATGGCTTATATGAGGAGGTGCTGAAAAGTTATTGAACTGGCTAAGTATCCCTTCCAAAAAATAAATCTAATGTTTGATTACTTGGTCAGATTTTAAGAAGAGAGTTGGGCAGCAAAATGAAGCCCTTTCTCTCTGTCACAAACCAATTTTTTTTCTTTCACTTTATATTTTTGAAACTTTAACTGTGAAGCTAAAGAAGAACAAACTGACTTTTTTTTGGTGGTTTAATTGCAGAGCACACTTGAAAAAAAACGTGGTTTATATTTACAGATCAATGCAGTCAATACAGAGTAGATAACACTGTTTGCAGAGAAAGGAATACAAAGGGCAGAGGTATATTAAAATCATTAAAAATAATAACCTATGTCTAAATTTTATAAGAAAGAAAATATAACACACACAGGCTAATTACCTTTAAGCCCACTCTTTACAGAGAGATGGCTGGAAGGACTTAATGTAAACAGATGCCAACACTTTCATATGAAAATTAGACTTGCACAGTAATTTTTTAAAAATAGTAATGTAAAGTGGTAATATTGAAATATGACATGATTAACAAAAAGTTAGCAATCCTTAAGACCTACTAAAAATCAAAAGTTAACTCTACGATCTCTCTATCTCAAACTAAGCAAAACATTTCGGATATAGAAATCAACTCACCCATGACACGGAGAATGTTGAGTGATGTATTGGTGACAATAGGAACAGATTTGAAGCCACTTCTACTTCGAGTTCGTGGTCGTCGACTGTAATTAAATGAAAAAAAAAAGAAGAGAATTATGGATACTGTATCTACTGATATATAACTCGCATTTAAATACTAATACTAACTATGCAAAAATGACCACATGTCAAATGTGTTGGTATAATGACTAGATGGCCGTAGTTCAATATCCATGTAAACTGTACATTACATAAGCTGACAAATTAGGTACTTTTAATTAATATACAAAATGGTTTCTGTATACATTTTGAAAGTGTTAAGATGGTGTTTTCCAACTAGAGAATTTCATACATGGAAACTTTTCAAAGTTTTTATTATTCAATTTCATCACAATGTCGAATAACTTTTCAACTCAGATCATCTTAATTTGTGTTTAAAGTTATAAGAATTGATGTAAAAAAAAACCCAGATGTTTTTGCTTATTATATAGCTTTTTTTCCACCATTTTCACGTTATAGCTTTGTTTCCACATTTATGATCACTTGTGCTTAATGTTGTTGTAAAAATTGATGTAAATAAAAACTTGTCATAAATTTTTTACCTCATATCTTTTTTCTACATGAATAAAAATTTTATTTAATGAAATTTGAAACTATTTATTCTTGATTATGCTTACAAGTCCAAAATGCTTGACAATTGATAAAAGACATTTTCAATGTGTCTATATGTAACAAGTATATAATAATCCTTTTATTTTTTTAAGCTTTTCACCCTCAAGCAAGGTGGGGGTGCCACTAGTATGCAGGGGGGTTAGAGAGAGTGAAGGTAAGAAAAATGTCTGGGTACGGGGGAGATTGAGGAAAAGTTAAAAAGAAGAATGGGGATCAAGGCATCAGAAGATGATGATTGATGTTACATTTAAATTTTTGAAGATTGTATTTATCTGGGAAGCAATTAAGAGGAAAGGTGTTCCACTGTTGGGAAGTGTGAGAGAAGAAGCTGTTGGAGTGGAAAAGGCAGTTACATTTAACTGTTTCAACTGTAAAAGGGTGGGAGCTAGAAGCCAACCTTGTAGCAAACTTAAATTCATGCAGTCAGGGCACCAGGGAAAAAGCTTGTCAGAGCAGTTGCCATGAAAATACTTCAAGAGAAGACAGAGGGAAGCCACATTATGTATGCGAGAAAATGACTGGAGTCGAGTTGCCAAGTCAGTACAAAAGGATTATAATCTGTCTATATTTCTGAGATGAGGTATTATGTACACTATTTACATTATTCGGACTATTGTCCTCATCTTTGTCGCCATATTTATTACGTTTCGGGCATTGTATGCTCTGGCCTTCTTCAGGTGGTTGGAATGTCGAACTAGAAAAGTCTACCCCAGTGAGCTAAATAAAGGGTTCAGTTTGAGATTCCAACCACCTGAAGAAGGCTGGAGTGTACAACAGCCAAAATGTTGTAATAAATATGGCGACAAAGATGAGGACAATAGTCCGAATAATGTAAAAAGGATTATTATATACTCCAATAACTCATCAGGTTTGAAATGTAGTGGTGGAATTCATTAAGAAAGTTAGGGCCCTCATTCCCCATTCAAAATAATTACCAATGATTAGCTAAGGGAGATAATTGGGTGGGACCAGTTGAAGCCATAGTGTTGAACCCACCAAAACTAAACCAAATCATTAAAGGATTAAAATAAGTTTTAAAAGTAATTGCTGGATGAACATGGCTGCAGTAGAAGGACAAAAACGTATTTTATTTATTTGAAGTGAATATTTGTGATGCAAAAATAAGAAGAGAATTGACACTTACTGATTAGGTTGGGTTTCACCTGTGTGTTCATCAATATATTCCTGCTTCAACTCTTCTGGAACATCAGAGTCACTATCACTCTCAACACTACCATCATCAAACCCATCACGGTCCTTTCAATAACAAGGTGAAGGAGAGAGAAAATATAAGAATACAATAAATAACATTAAAATAAATTCATGCCTATTCAAAGGTAAAATCTTTTTAATTATTGATGCATTTATCTAACAAAGTGGTAAATAATTATTAATAAAGATGATCTGACCATTGGATTAGATTTATTCAAATACTAACTGGAAATACATCTGCTATCAATTTTATAAAATGTACAATGTTTATATCTTTTTAAGAAAATGTACTAGAAAAAAATACACAAGGACTAATATTAAAGAAAAAGAACACACATGTGAAAATCAATTTCTTTTTTTTTTTTATTTACTCAACAGCCATTAGGCAAAAATGGGTAATCAAACGAAAGGTAAAAAAAAAATGTAACAAAGCAAGCTGAAAATATATAAAAACCAAGTTTCTTTGGCGTCAACTCTTATATTAGAACAGCAAGGTCAATAATTTGACATTTGCTATTCTTCTTATTTATAAACTTTTGTAATGTAGGGAAGGTTACTGAATAGAATAATCAAACTAAAGTTGGTAAAAAAACGATAATATTTAGGACAAGAACAACACATATAAGATTCACCAGTGGCACATAGAAGAAGTAGTCAACTGCTAGAAGTGAGTCAAGTGAATTCCACAATGAATCTCAAACTGCTGACCAACATACAGTATATACTACTGTATTTATGTGAATGGGAAGATACCTATTATCATCCGTAGGTATGCTACAACATAAACAATAAGGTCGAGTCTTTGTGCTTCAATGACATGATCTGTCTGAACTGAGAATTCCCATGTCATCTTGTGACTGTTATTATTTTGTTTTATTTTTATCATAATCATTGTTGCAGTCATTAAGTCAAAATGGACAAACAAATGGAAGGGAAAAAAAATCACAAAGCACAGGCAACATGCAGAAAACAGGAAATATATTGCATTTAGATTGTATACTTATTAACAAAATGATATTATAAGAGGATCTGTTGATGAACGCATCCACTTAGATCATCCTGAGGGAACTTATCAGATGTCTGCAAAAGTACTTAGCACTATTTTGAAAACTGAATATACTGAAGAAAATGTTTTTTTTTTCCATTACTATTCACATTTCATGCCTTCACTCACTTGTAGAGAATTCAACCCTTCCAAAATACCAGGGCATGGGATGAAGTGGATACTTTTATAGGAAAATGCCTCTTGGATATAATTAAATGTTACACCTGAAACTACATAGATGTCATATAAGGAGATAAATTTTTCTTAAAATGTCTTTAAAAAAAAAGCATATACTTTATAATGGATTTAGAGCCAGGAAACGGTAATTTATTATTAATTTAGCAGCCCAAAATGGGTAAACAAATGGGAAGTGGTTAAAAAAAAATATAACAAAGATCCCTGGCAACATGCAGGAAAAAGGAATTTTTCAAAACATTGAATCAGAAATGTGTTTAAGATAGAGGGACATTGTACACAAGTACAGTTACAATCTAATATATTCAAAATATATTTTGATTTCCTTTTTGAATATATCTAAAGTCTTGGCAATGAAGGAGAGTGCTCCACTCATTCACTACCTGCAGTGAAAAAGAATATTTTCGTTTGTTCAGACAATAGAGTATTTGTTGAATTTTTTTTAGAGATGTCCTCTGGTGGATATATACTGGCTTTTGTTAAAATATTTCTTGAAACCTATGTTGTCAATTGAATTTATTATTCTAAATACTTGTATTAAATTAGTTCAGTTCCAAGTGAGAAAAGAACAAGGCTTTTAAGTCTATTATGGTAAGGCATATTTTTAATTTCAGGAATCATTTTAGTAAAGTGTTTTTTGTACTTTTTCTAGCTAAGTGTAAGGCAGTCACTCACAGTTTGGTGTGATGATCTTGAAATCCATTTGATTCTTATAAATGTATATTCAGAATTTTTCACATTTCACAATATTTTTGAAACCATCAACTTCAACTCACCATGCTTTTAGCAAAGACATCTTCCTGTTCTTCCTCTTCTGGTTGCAGATCAAAAGGATTACATTTCTCCTCAAAATTGAAAAAATAACCGGTGCCAAGATTTGTTTTTGTCTCCTGTTTAGCATCCATCTTAGCTGGAGAATTTACACCTGATGAATTCTGACTCCAGTTTTGCATGAATCGAAATTCCTGTAAGAAAATGATAATGGATGACTTTAGATTGGAAATTATTCAGAATTGTATGAATTATAAAAATAAGGGGAAATTGAATTTAGTTTTGAATGATCAATTGAAATCAACATGAAACTACACAAGAACTGAATAAATATCAGAAAATAAAATTTAAAAAACTTTGTAACAAAATAAATGAAAAAATATAAGAAACATACTGTGAAATTTATTTGTGGGTTTGAGATTTTTCTGAAAAATCATTAATTTTTATATTTGTTCAATATTTGAAACATCACATTGTATAGATTTAAAAATTATTAAATTGTGTTTTCATAATATCTTTGCCATATAAAATAAATCTCAAGTCAAAAATACCAAAATTCAAATCAATAAAGAAAATTTAACTAGAAAAAAAAAATAACAAAAATTATAATTTCTGTTTGTCGCAGGCAACAAGAGATTATTTTTAAAAGTGTGAAAAATATTTTCTTTATGTACAATGAATTTCAAAGTATTTTCTTCAATTAATATTCATTTTAACATCCCAAATCATTAAACTTAATCTTTTAATAAAAGTCAAATATTTAAGATTATAAGTATCACTAAAAATTCCTTATTCCATTCCAGCATCAGTAAAATGTTTTCAATGTGTACAGTTTGTGTTTGTAGTCAGATTTTGTAATTGATGTCTTACAGTCAATGGTTTAAGTTTCTATCTGATAATCATTATAATTCAGCGGAATTACTAAGACAGCTTGTACAAACAAAAAATATCCACAAAGCTTAGCTCAATAAAAGAGAGTGGGGAATGGAGTGAGGAAGATTGTATTGGTTCTCCATGTTAGGAAAACTTGAAAGTCATGATAATAAGCATTTAAAATTTTGGCTTTTGACTGCACATAAACCACTGGGAAATATATGCAACTGCTGCAACCATTGGGCAGTGCACATGGTTAATGTTACTCCTTATCTTTAACAAAATGAGCGAGCAGATACATGGATGCATTGAGAGATGGTAAGGTTATAGATTAAGATTTGCAACAGAAATAAAAATGTAGGAAAAGAATAAAGTACAAACCAGTAATTGAAGCAAGTTAAAGTTGGATCGAATAGGACACAATTCCCAGCCTTCATTCTCCAAAAACATTCTTAGTTCATCCATTTTCACTCTGAAAGATCAAAGATAAATTTATTTAAAAAGAAATAAAATACTCTTCTTAAATACACAGCTTCAACCATTTGGATAACTTTTCTTTTCATATAAACATAAGTAAAAGGTCTGTCACTTAGCTGACTGATGTTTACCTTCAGCATCCCAACTCCAGAGTTTCATAGATGGACCCTCTGAGAATTATACTGTCCACTCCTCAGGGGGTGTCAGCAATTGACTGCTTATACTTCTTGATTTTTCTTATATGTACTTTTCTCTCTCTCTCTCTCTATGTATATATATATATGCACATTTCATTGAATACGACTGACAAGGTGCTTTTATTTAGTTTTTTTATACAACTTCTCATGTGATCTAATAATTTTTTTATTTTCGGATGATAAATTATATAAAAACTCTGAATGTTCTTTTTATCTGAGCACTTTCACCTATACATTTAGTTATTTTCAAGGATTAAATATTTTAACTGTTAAATAAGAAATAGTTTGCTGCATGTATGTTTTATAAAATATTTTCATTTTTCAAAACAGTCAAGATATTGTGTCCATGTTCATAGTTGATATTAAGTGTTGTTTTTTTTTGTTTTTATTAATAAGGCTTCCATTATTTTTAGCCATTTTTTTGCATGAAGATGATGCTATTATATTTGTGTTGTCAACAAGTATGTTACGAATAGTGTCTGGTAGGTCCCCATGAATATTTAAATGAGATCTAATTGAACTATGGTCAGAAAGGTGTAGAGTGAGTCTGCGTGTCAAACATGTTGTAGTAATTATATATATTTACGAATTTTGATTGATCAGGAATACAATTCCTTAATGGGCATTTAAATTCGTAAACAATATTTGCCCTATTTAATTTTGTTCTAGGAGGTGAATTATTATTTTTAACTATAAGGTTAGGGATTTTAAATTTTTTGTAATAAATAATTAATCTAATTTTTTTGCTATTGTCAACTGGTGTTATGCATTTTTTTATAATGTTAATTCTACTTTCATCCTGGTTGCTGAAGACATTAGGTTTATAATACCCAGAAATTCATACACAGATGTCCTGGCACAGGGGTCTACAGGGAATTTTTGTCTGAGCCTATGGGCTCAGTTTTAACTCCACATTAAAAATGGCCTTGTGCTGCATCCTGCCACATGGGGGAGTAAGGTAAATATACTTGCTTTGGGAATTGCTAGTCTGCCACCTTATTCCCTGTCTTTCAGTAGTGTATTTTCTTTTTACAATAAACCTCTCTTCCTTTCATCTACACATGTGTGGCTGTTCCTTCACTTGAGTATCACCTTTGTCTGTTTGTAACCTCTTTTAAGGATACAACATTTTCTTTCTTTCATAACAGTGGCTGATAAAAATGATCACCTATTTATAAATTTTGTTTACTTATTCTTATCATTGCCTGCAACATGTTCGTAACTAAAAGATGGGCATTATAACCAACTCTATGTTCTTATCTCATGCTATAAATGTTTTCTGTTTTACTCTTTTTTCTTGGAACACCAAGCTTGAATTTTAAATGCAGCTGAAACAAAAGATTTCTTACTGTCCAAGTGATACATGAAAGTATCAAATATTTTGAAGGAATAAATTTACAAAATATTCGATTACCTGTGATGATTCCTAAAATAGTTAAGACTTTGCTGTTTCAACACATCTTGAAGACTTTCAGATTTGCTTCCACAGAATTCTTCTCCAATCTCAATTAGTCTGCAAAAAGATATGAAAAACATTTTTTTATTAATGCTAGGTCCTTTCAGAATGTAGATGATCATGGTCCTCCACAGCTTTCTTTTCTTTATTATTGGTGAACTGACATGACTTCTTCGCAAAGATAGTAGAGTGGTTTCCCATCACATTTGCCACAGTTTGAAATGCAGATTAGTCCTACTTTTAGACAAGTTGCCACCAACGACTAGAGAACCAAGTTTACCGCACTGTTTAACTCATACCTAGAAGAGATGGGTTCATGTCTTTCCTAAGGGCATTAGTACAAAAGTGAAAGCAATTTATATTTACATATGTGCTAGCCCTGACATTGAGTACTTTAATCTATAAATATAGCATACCTTAAAACTATATATATAATAAAGTAATATACAGGGTGTTTCAAAAAATTTGATATCATTTCGCAATCTAATAACCTTGTTAGATCTCCTTCAAATGACTTCAAATTTTAATAGCATCTTTATGTTTAATGTTTGCTTTATGTTTTTATGTCTTTATGTTTTTGTCTTTTTCTTATTTGTATTTTTATGTTCTTTAATCTTTAATCTTTTTCTTTACAGGTATAAAAATGCCGTGTCTCAGGCAGTGCACATATTGAACATTTGTGAAATTGTTCACATAATCCACATGCTTTTGAATTTCTCATTCAGATTTGGAAGAATAAATCTTATGATCTTCAACATTAATACTTTTTAATTTCATTTGCCTTAATCATGTACTTTCTGTGACATTTACATTTCAAAGGATATCAAATTTTTTGAAACACCCTGTATATCTATATAAAATAAAATAATAATATTCAAAATAATATATATCTATATAGTTTATTTGTATTAATCCTATAATAATATATAATGTTCACAAAATTATATATATATATATTTATCAAGTATATTATAATACCTTTATTTGAAGGGAATACATTAAGCTCAAATATTTTATCTGGAACAAGCTTTCTAACAATAATCTAAGTGGTTTCAGACACAAGGAAAATTTCCATTTCAAACTAGAAATGATTTTGCTAAATAAAATTTCAAAATTAGTCCCGTTGTTTAATTAATTTGTATTAATTTATACAAAGTTTGAACTTTAAAAATACTGTTTGCCTTTCAGATAATTACAACCAAATTGGTTTTCCTTGGTTAGATAGTACTAAATATGGACTCTTCAGGAAAAACATAAACAAATGTTTATAGCAAGTTAAAAAAAAAAAAAAAAAAAGAGAGAAAGCTGAAATGAGTCATCTTTAAGCAGCGTTTGTCATCATTGTATCAAATTCAAGAACAAAAACAAGTTATTCAATAAAACAGAAATAACACATTAATTTTGTCCCTGAAGTATTTCCATTAAAATAATAAAAAAAACAAAAAAAAAAAAACAAAAAAAGAGAATTTAGAAAAAACAAATGTATCTGACATACTTAGAAAATGAAAAAGTTTAACTGTTTCCAAGGGAGATATTCAAACATTATATTAACTTACCTGTTAACAAGGTCAAGGACTTGAATAAATTCTTCAAATTTAAAAAAGGAAAGATCTGTTCCCAAAATAAATGTCTTGACTTTCTGTTGTACATCCTGCCAAATTCGTCCCATGCCATGCTGCAGTTTCTGTTTGACATAACGACGGTTGAAAGTATTCTCAACATTACTCGAAGTTTGCTCTGCAATAAACAAACAAAACAGTAGTCATAGGCTGTTTGGTAAGAGAAAAATATGAACCAAACAGTTGGGACTTTTTAGTTTTTGAGGATTTTGAATCAAATTAAAAATCGTTTATCTGCAAAATAATTTACACTTTTTACATTGCTTGGACTGTTGCTCTCATCTTTATTGCCATATTCATAACATTTCGGCTGTTACATACTTCAGTCTTCTTCAGGTGATATATGTTAGAATTTCGAAACAAACCCTTTATTTAGTCCGCAAGGTTAGATTGTTGTAGTTCCACATGTCATGCCATTTTTGGATATCTCAATTTCAGTTAATTTCCTTAAGTAACTCAGCTCTCAAAGTTGTTGTTCCTTCTGCTGTGGCCAGGTATTGAACTCACAACTCTTTGGATTAAATCACTTTTTGGGATAGCTCAACCAATGCTTTTATCCAAATATCAAAATTGTAGCATGCCATAATTTCTTAAAAATAATACGCATGTTTTTTTTTTTTTTAACAGTAAATTACATGTGATAGTAGTGGTGTGTATTATAGATAGTTTTAAACAAAAATATTTGTTTCGTTATTGATTCATAACAATAATATTGCTGATTCTTTGGACCTTATCGAGGAGCTCCAGGAAACTAGCAGGGGCACTGGACTGTTTATGGCAGCAATATTCTAAGCATAGACGAAGGGTAGACTTAGAAATATGCAAGATAGATTCCAGAGAGAAAAATTGTCTCACTCAACACAGTGAACTGACTTTCATGGCAGCTAATCTAGCGATGGATTTAATGTAGTCTTTCCACCTCATGTCAGCTGAGAATGTTAGTCTGAGTTTAGACTTGGATCTGTCATTTTTATTGTCAGTTTTGTGATGTCTTTACTTACAAACATAATTTCAACTTTCTTTTCAGAGTCACTTCAACAGATTTTCCTTTCAGCTAATCACTAGAATCTCTTAATTGTTCATTAGGAGCATTGTGACAACATTAGTAACATGTGCATTTTTTTTTATCCACCCGACTTAATTTTGTTTTTTTAATATTCTTTTCACCCCAAGCAAGGTGATAATTCCACGAAGATGCATGGGGTTAATGGGAGTGAAACTTTAGAAGGAACCAGAAACACAATTCTAGACAAGAAACAAGGAATAAACCCCTGCTTCTGTTGTAAACACTGAGGAGGAGTGTGAACTGGGTAATAGGCAAAGGTATTTCTTCTAGGAAACAAAGGATAAACCTCTACTCCAGTTCAAAAGACCGGAGAGGAGTGTATATTATAGATATATCATTTAGATTCTTAATTTCCTTGTTATATATTGTCTCCAGTGTTCTGGTTTTTATAGGATAGAAAAAAAAGATTTTATTTTGAAAAATCAAATTAAAAAGATAATATTAAAAAAATTTGTTTCAAAAATTCAAATAAGCAAAAATAAGTTTCTTTTTATTTTCAATGATCTTTTAAAACCAAGTATAATCAATCTTATTCATCTTCAATGGAATTTTTTTTCACATTCCAAGCAGAGAACAAGAAGTTTACTGTGATCTTTGCATACGTTTCTTCTCGAATTATTTCAGACAGTCTTTACTTTAGGGTTACATGTTTGAAATTTGCACAAACATTAGGGCTAAAATCAGAAACTCCTTGTAATTACTGGACAGAGGTATTCAAAAAGCTACTTAACTAATCATTAAAATTTGACTTGCCACTTTCTAAATATTAAGGAAAAGGCTTTTGTGGGGTGTTTAAATACATCATGGTACTAATGGAGAGTTGAAATAATATGAAGAGATTTACTTCCAATAATGACATTACAATGATTTTCACATTACTTGTGATCCTTCACAAGATAGAAGATGTATCAGTTCAAGATTATTGATGTAAATAGAAGTTCTGATTAAAAAAGTATTGGAACTGTTGCTATGGTAATGGAGCTAAAGTATGTAGAGTGAAACTGCTTGACAAAGATTGAATTCTGTTGCATATATGCACTAAGTAATAGTGTTCTTGCTCACTTTTGTTGTTTATAGTAGTACTTGGAAGGAAAGTGTGTAGAGTGTAGTCCTCTTGCTACATCACAAAGGTTCTATCAATGTCCATGGCTTGTGCAGTTTTTGGCCAAGCCCAACATTCCTCAGGCCAGACAACCTGTGACACCGAGGTCATGAAGTAGTTAATATTGGGTATAAGCTGGAAGAGCCATGAAGTGGTTAATATTGAGTATAAACTGGGAGAGAGAGAGAGAGAGAGAGTGTGATGGGATGCGAAAGGGGCCATCTGGGTCTTATCGCCCTTAAGAACTGGGATGATGCACCAAGAAATTATTTTTTTCTCTATCAAGGAATCTGGCATGTGGCGAAATGAATTGAGAAATAATTTTATCTCTCTCTTGAGAATTTAAGAAAACAAATATTGTTAACAAGGAGAGGGTTAGGTCTGGCTTATATTTTTGCTGATAAAAAATTGGGAAATTTAAATGATGGTTAAATGAGAACAAACTCTACTTAAGGGTCAAATGTATGATAAGATGGAAGTTATGAAAACAAGTCCTGTCATTGGTGGGAAAGAGAGTGGTCTGGGTTATATTTTTGCTTGACAGAGATAAGTCCAGGGAAATAGAAAGGAATAAGAGAATTAAAATTAATGACTAGAATAAAACTTCACCCTTTTACCTATGCAGTTTAAAAATTAGATTAGTCTAAAGGCAGTTGTGCCTGTCCTGGGAAGTAGGCTGAGTTTGAATGCTAAGGGAGTAGAAGGAAGAATGAGAATTTAGCACTACCTGTATAGAGTGATTGTATGAGATGTAAAGTGAAGCAAGTTGGAGTTGAGGGGAGGAGCAATCCCTGTGACTACTCCCAAGGAAGATGAATAATTCACCAAATTTGGAAAGTTGATTAACTTTTACCACACTAATTTCTTTCTAGAATTGTTCTCCCTGCCACTCCATTTTTTTAAGGGCACAAAAAAATAAACACCTACTGTTTTAAAATTATTATAACTTTCTTTGTATTGTGTGTATAGATTTTATTTTTTGAATATTAATAAAAGAATGGATGAGTAATATTTTGATGCAATGCATTGTTTTGCATGCCTGTTTTGATGCTGAAAACAAGAAAAATTGAAATACAAAATAAAAAACAAATACATTAACAATTTAACATACTTTAACTTTTATTACTCCTTGTGGAGTTCTGGGTCTGCAATAAAAAGTAAAATAGATAAGAAGACTTATTTCATCAAAAAAGTGACATGCTTCCTCGTGTTTACATATGAGAAGACACTAGCATTTGTTTGGTCTTTCTTTCATCTGACTTTCATATTTGTCTCATTGACGAAGTTATTATTTTGTCATTTATAAACAGACAAAATAATTCACCCTCAGAAAGGCCATCAGGTATATTAATGGTTGCCAGTAGCTTCCATAAAATTAGTCAGCCATGGATGATAGTAGACTTTAGTGGTCATCAATGTTTTCCTCTTCAACCACTTCAATATCAATTAAAACCTTCAAAATCATCATCAGAGTCTGAATCAAAGAAAATCTCCTGAATTAAGGCTTCATTTGATATTGGTGAGGCCATTTTTGTTTACAAAATATTGCAAAAAAAATTAATGTAGGTTTAATCAATGTTTCACCTTGTGTAGAAGAATGGCATCAGAAAACAGAAGTTTAGCCTTGTTCCAAACCAGTAATAAGTGATTTTCAGATTAGAATACTGGAAATAACAGTTGACAAGTGTTTATCTATAGCAACCATCTCAAGGTGACATAATGTGCCTAGAACAACAAAGAGAGAGAATTCTACAGAAAAAATTTTTTGCCTCGAGCATGGTAAAAGTTAAGAGTGCAGAAATAGCAGACAAAGAACCCTTCTTGGGATTAATGCGAAAATTGGGGAATCACTGAATCTTCAAAACCTGTTTGCCCTACACCAGTTTTGGGCCGAAGTGCATAAAAGCAGATATCTTTGAGAGCTTGAGGACTTGTGCGATGAATTCTTGCATTAGTGCCTCTGGAATCCACGTCAGCTGCCACCAAATCTCCTGACACTGAAGAACCCAGCTTCTCCAGAATTTTTTTTTAGAGATTGATGTGGACTAATTCTTCTTGTATCAGGAACTATATAAACTAATTGAAGATTAACCTAACAAATCTTTCATTTTATTTTTGTGAAGATATTTCTCCCCTTAATATAGGTTCTGCCTTGGCTCAATCCAATACTTTGATTACTACAACATTCGATCTTTCACTGCTCTGTTCAAGAACACAATGTTGGTTAAGTGGGTTTGGTTCGTAGTGGCCAATGACAAACAGCTAGCTTGGACCAGCATCAGTACTGACCAGCACAGGGTTAGCCCTGTGGTTAAAACATCATCCTAAGGACCAGACTGATAAATGTGGTTATACCATTGGGTCTAGGAGTGTGAAAAGGGGTTATAAACTGCCATATTGCTCAGATTTCATCCCTTGTAACTTTTTTAAAAATCAAATCCCACTTGACAGGGACAAGATTTCAAGATGTTTAGGAAATTCAAGAGCATGCCCAGGCACTGGAAATGAAGGGAAATTACTCTGTGGAACTCTAAAATATTACTGTGGATCTCTGACTTGCTAATTTTTTTTGTGTGGACCCCCAGTATATGAAATCTGGTTGAAAACCATTGGTTTAAAAAACAAAAAAAAAATTCTTTGTGTTCTAATATCAAGGATTTATACTTTTTGTGTAAACACCCCGAATAAACTTTTTTGTTATTCAAATTTATTTATCATATATACTCGCGGATTGGTTGCCCCCACTGGATAGGTTATCCGCCTACTTTATGGCTTAATAACTAGTGATTTACTGTTGACTCGCAGATAGGTTGCACTATAATCTGGAGAGTTACACGGACCTTTTTAAATGTAAGAATTATCAGATTTCTATCTTTATTTCAAAACTTATAATTATTAATACACTTTTGCAGATTGATTTCCATGTTCTTCTGCATAATTAGCACTTTTAATTTAAAACCTGCTTCATAACTCTTTCTTTTACTCATGATTAGGGTTTGCAACAATTAAAATTATAAACTATAAATTTGGCTACCAACTATATCACTGCACAATGCAAAACGGCACAAACATTTTGGGTACTATATTCATGCACTTTGTTATTTGTAAATAACACTTAAGAATGTCTTTTAATGTTATATGAAACAACCATTAAAGAAAATTTTCTCATAAAGAATATATTTCATTTCTTTAAGTCATATTTTTCAATGTATTTTTGACAAAATATATTTTGCAGAATGAATTGTGGGACTATTTTCTCTTTGTCAATAAACATCTACACATGGTTCCTTAACTTATTTATGCATGTTCAGGGGTTCAGTCTATTGTGAGGGCCCTGACTGAATGTCATTGATGGATCAATGAATATTTTATAATTTTATTTATTTATTGTGATGGATATGTGAATCTAGCAGCATGAGGTAAGTTTAAAGCAGTGAGTCAGTATATATGGTAGATAAATTGTTTCTATATGGAGAAAAACCACATAGTATTTATAGGGTATCATTTCCGATTTCTCAGAAATCATGATGACAAGGTAGCATTTTTTAAAATTTATGTAAAGCAGATAGGTCGCACCTGTAATGTTTTGTGAAATTTTTGGTAAAAAAAGTGCGACCTATCCACGAGTATATACAGTACACAAATATTCTGCTGACACTATTTTGAAGTGAATTGTGAATCATAATGGCTGCCATTTTAAAATCTTTTTAGCTAAATAAAGAAAATGCTTCAATTCTTGTTAACCTGCAGTGTTATTTTAATTAAAAGAGAATGTTAAACCTATGTGAGAAAAAGTAAAGAAACTGAGAAGGTTTTGAAATCTTTACCTGTTTCTGCTATGTCTTTGTTGTTTTGTTCATGCCATAACATGGTCTGATAGTGACTTTTCATTACTTCCCACAATGCCTTGCACAGATCTGTGAGGCAAGGAGTGAAACTCTCCACTGTAATATGCTAGAAAAAGCAAAGATTATATATTTACATCACAGAGTCAGAAGAGAAAAGCAAACATATGCACAAATATAAAAATAATTTGAACTCTTCAGAGTTAAGGAAAACAAAGTATCATGCTATTCATTTTTCATCAGGTCAATTTTCAGGTATTAATTAAAACAAAAAAGGTGTTTTATATTTGTGTGTATCCAAAGTATTTTTATCATTCTACAAACTTATTCCCAAACTTATTTCATGTAAACATCTAAAGACTATTTAGGACTCCACTATATTATTAATATTATAACTAGCTGGACCCAGTTGATAGGTTAACACTTGATATATTGTCTTTACATTTTAAGGGGGATAAATTGTACATGTTCCTTAAATAACCATATGGTCATATACTGTATATCATGTTATAATTTTTCAAATAGGTTTTTAGGACATCTATTTTTATTTTAGCCATTTAGAGTTGGACCCATGGAAATTCCATAGTTTTTGTTAATTTTCTGCAAGTTCTGCCACATCTCCTACTGGGAGAAAAAAAAAAAAAAAAAAAAATGCATGAAGCAAGGTCAAAAGTCTTGTGGGCTGAAAGGAATCTCTCCTTGCCACTATTAAACATTGGAAGATGTCATGCTTTGGCCACATCACATGGCGTAATAACCTCTGCAAGACCATTAGCACAGCTGAAGGCAGACACAAGTGGGGGGCAGGAATGAAGAAGCTAGTTATAGAACATGAAAGAGTAGATGAACATGATAATACCGAAACTCGTGAGGGTCATCCCCAACAGATCATCCTGGAGGAAATAGTCTTTTTCTTCTGCCCTTAGGTCCTCAACCAGTGATTGAAGTGGTCAAGGGACATGATGATGATGAATCATTTCAGGTTGGCATATTTCACATTACAATACCATTTCACTGAAGCAGATATTAAACACATCACTTCCTTTTCTTTCTTTCTAGATATAGACATATACAGCTTCAATGCACTCTAGAATGAGGCTTGCTGGTAGTTAAAAAAAAAGGGGGTTAGAGATTTATTCTGTCCAATGCTGCTATACCAAGAATTTGTGGGTAGGCGACAAGCATGTTAAATTTGTGGACAGGAGAGAGGCAAGCTATTACAGGACATAACATATGTGCTAAGGAACAACTAGAATTGTAATATGATACATATACTATTCAACTGTGCCTAACTATAAGATACAAGTACTGAAATTTTGTCAATTGAGAGTATTTAAATTGGGTCTCAAAATTACAGAAAATATTAACAGAATTTTGAAAGTGAAAGCAAGTGAAACAAGATCTGGTTTTATTGCCCAAAAGTGTTTTAAGGGGAATGACTTTTCCATTAAAATCTAGTTGTTGCTTATGATACTATACAATGCAAGTTAGAAGAGAATGGAGCCAACCAGCATTTGAAAACTATCAGAAGAACTGAGTTCATCAAAAGATCCATACTTTTGAGATAAGTTTCGAATAAACATACAAAATCTCTTCAGAGATTCTCTGTGAAGTCAAAAATTAAAATACTTTTGATACACCTGAGTAATTTTAAATAACATTTGTAAGACCTTTGACAACTATGTTATGAAGTTAAAACTGGATATTATAGTAAATAATGTTTTTTTGTCAGTTTACATAATTTAAGTTATAATCAAACCATTATGCAAAAAATAAAAAAAAAAAACAGCAGTAAAATTTATAAAGATTAATCAAGTGATTTTTGGTAATAATTTAAATTATTTTCAATTTTGCATTTTATATCTTAAGTTAAAGTTAGAAGTTATATTTTCTGATATGTAAACAATTATTAAAATCTTAACATTCATGAAAAATGGTAACAATTAACAGCAAAAGAAAATCTAATCTTTTCTCTGTCCTGTAAGAGTGGTTACATTTAATGTACAAAAAGCATATGCAAATGTAACAACTATTATGGGACAGATGTAATTAATAAGCTGCAATGAAAGAAAATATTAAAATGCAAATAAAACAAATCTTATATCTATAAAAAAAAAAAAAGAATTTTTCTTTTTTACAAACTACAATAACATACAATGAAATGGTCATTACATTATGAATGAAAATGGAATATTAAATTTAGAACAGACCAATAGAGAAATCTACTTAATTTATTGGAGTTGATATTTCAAATCAACTAATTAAGACATGATTTATTTTTATCAATGATATGTTCTTGTTTAGTAACATTAGAAAATTAGGGTCTGAATAATCAAGAAACGTGTTAAAAAATTGCAAGGTACAACTTAGTGTATCCAAAACTACATGTGTACCTAGAGGAATTAAATCTGCATGAAAAATAAAACTTTTCATTACCAATGATTCATCAAATGATATTAAATATAAAAGAAATTAGTTGGTTAGCAATTGATATTTTATTATACAGATAAATATCAGATAGTTTAAAAAGTAAATGATAAAGATATTAGTTTAAAAAAAAAAGTTTTCTTTTAAAACAAACAAAACAGGAATTCATTTTTAAAAGTGCAGGCAGAATACTTCTTGTGATTTTAAACAAAGTCATGGGATTTTTTACGATCAATTAAACCACTACTTTCAATTCTGGATTTATATTTTAAGTACAATATACAGTTTTTGCTTCTTTACATCTTCTGTTATGAAAACAATTACTGGAATCGTAATGATTTTTATGATCCATTCTGTTATCACTGCAGTCTAATTTACATTTGTCTGTATCTTTTACATATTTCAATAAGCAATTTTTAATGACTTGAAAAATAATGATTACAGAACCGTTAAGAAGCTAACTTGAATCTCAAAGTGTAAAACTGTTAAATATGAAGAGAAAATATTTTCAAAGATGTTTTTCCAATACAAGTCTTTGATTTAATCTAGTCTGAAATTTTATTCTGCAGTGACGTTAAAAATATGCAAAAAAAAAAAAAAAAAAAAATCAACTATCAATGCTTCTAAAATTCAAATTTGGTATTTAAGAAACTATTCAGGAAAATAAAATAATCAAAGAAGGTAAAGTAGGGTTTTTTTTGGGTTTTTTTTTTTTGTATTCAACAGCACTTCAACACTAGGATCTTATATTGTATCACAAAATTTTATAATTTCTTTTCTTTTTGTGTATCTATATCTCTGAGATATTATGATTACTTGCATTATTTACATTATTTGGACTGTTATCCTCATCTTCATTGCCATATTCCCAATGTTTTGGCTGTTGTATGCTCCGGCCTTCTTCAGGTAATTGGAATTCTGAACCGAACCTTTTATTTCGTTCACCGGAGTAGACTGTTCTAGTTCCACGTGCCATGTCTCTTTCAGATGTCTCAGTTATTTCCCTTTAACTTAACTCTCCAAGTTTTAGTTCACCAGTGCAACTCACACAACTCTTTGGGTCTAGTCACTGGATCTAACCAACGTCTTTATCCAATGGGCCACGTGTCCTTTTTTTTTTCCTAACTGATTTTGATATACACATACGTATGTACATGTCTATATACATATGTAATTATTTGGAGTAATATTCTGTTATATAGCTTAACTTTTCGTAAGCATTCGAATGTTGTGTTTGGCTGAATTTTGAATAATTCCTTCTAATTATTTAGTTAATAATATATAGCTTCGGTGAGGCTCAGGTCATTTACATTCAATCAAGATATATGCTACAGTGTATGGTTTGAGGCACTCCGTACACATGGGTGGTTCTTTTTTTTTTTTTTTTTTTAGTGTATGTAAGTGGGTTATGCGTATGGCCTATGTAAAGAAGGTAGATTTTACAAGAACATCAGTAGTAATTTTCAATTAAAGTTACAAAAAAATACAAAAATGACAGATAAAAACAAACCTAGATTTTATTAAAAATATTTTTCATAAATTCTTCTGTCATCTTTGAAACAAAAAGCAGATTTTCTGAAATTTCAAATAGGAATATAGGACATTCTGTTCAAATTTCAACTAAAAAAATGAATAATTTGCATTTAATATTTTCAAAGTCTGGTGCCATCAAGCTTACTTGAATACAATTCAGTTTGGATTAAAGTGTTTTAAAGATGCCAAGATAAAGCTAATAAATGATTTTCTCTCTGACACTGAAAAAAATTAATGTTCCTAGTAATATTCATACATGAACAAAAACATTAACTTTGGAAAATTTTTCCCCAAATTTGATCTTCATGTTAAACATTTTATTTCCAAAGAGGAATTTAAATATAATAAACAACTGAAAAGATTGAATCCTGTTGGTTAAATTTACTAAATTCATTCTGATTGAATTCTTGTTGCTGAAACACAAGTTTTATATATATATATATATATATATAAGATCTGTCAGTTTCATGTTTTAAGTAACTGTCAGAGAATCAATATATGATCATCAGATTGCCTACTGATTGCTTAAGGCATAAAACTAGCAGTCACCATGTAATAAAAATATTGGATTAAAAAATAAAATCCATTAATTAATTATATATATATATATATATATATATATATATATATATTATTAATTTAAAAATTATAACATATGTATGTTATAACATCACTAGAAAAATAGGCATCTAAGGTCCGTTGTCAAGTTATTTGAATTATCATATGCTTGTAATTTGATTGGCCATTACATCTTCTGTAATAATTTTCCCCTAGTGGGGATAATGGTTAGTTTTTGAACTTTTTATTTTACTTGCAACAGAATCACTTGACAAGACAACTGAAGGGTTGAAACAAAATGGTTATTTTTGTAGTGATGTTATAGCATACATATGTTATAGTTTTTAAATAAATCTTATTCACTCTACTCTGTATTGAGCACTTTTTTAAAAAATAGTGTTTTTGGTTACTGAAGTTTATTCCATCTACACCAACCTTGTATATATATATATATATATATATATATATATATATATATATATATATATATGTAAGTGTGTGTATCACATTCCTCCCAAGCCATCATGCAGTGTTGACTTCTATGTCCATTCTGTTTTTTTTATATATATGGAGAGGGTTAGGCTCCGTCAG